CTAACATGCAGGTAGTACCTTTTGGTACAAGATGACTTTTTTCGCTAAAATGCTTCTACAGTGAGTGAAAATCGGTATAATCACTTTACCAACATGGTCTCAATATTACAGACACTATCGTTAAGCCTGAAGTAGTACTGGTAACCATCAACTGCCTCCTTTCCACCCGGAAGTGGTTTAATTTGGTTTCCAAAGCCAGCAGTATAAGTGTATATTACCTTTAACTGGATAGTAGCAAAAAAACGTTTAAGATGCAACTTGTAGGTAGTACTTTATCGTACTTATGTGAATTTTTTCACGAAAACCAAGCCAAAGTGGGTAAAACCTGTCAGTAATCACTTTAGAGCAAGTCTTCAACGCAAAAACAAAAGTGGCGATCACTGTCGGCAACATTGTGGTCGTACTGAAAAGTGCTGGCGCCATTATTCGCTTACCCAAAGGGTTTTGTTTGCTTTCCACAAATGTCAACTTGAGCGCTGAGTACCAATGACACAACGACAGCGAAAAACCATCAAAAATATGACCCGTAAGTAGTACTTTACGGTACTTACAAGTGTTTTTTCGACAAACGGTTTAAAAATTAATGTCGATTGTAATCGTTTTCCTTAACCCAAAACCAAAATCTGACAAATATTGTCAACACTGAAGTGGTACCGAATAGAGACGTAGCGACATTACGCTCATTGAAAAGGAACTTTATCTACTTCTTATTATTAGCAAGCGTGACTGACAACTACTGGTAACGCGTTGGACGAGAACACATGTCAAAAAGATGACATCGAGGTAGTACTTTAACGTACTTCTAGGATTTTTCAGTAGAGTGATGTGAAAATACATAAAAAGCGATAGTAATCGCTCCCATTGGGGACCAACCCTCAACACAAACACAAAATGTGATCTCTTGACTACAATATTAAAGTAGTACCGGCTAGCACTAGCGACACAGTTTACGTCTGGAAGACTTTTCATTTGTTTTCCATTGAGAAGGCGTGAGTGCCGATTACTCATGATTATATGGCAACGCCAATACGCCTAGAAAATTACACGCAAGCAGTACGTTCTAGTACCACACGATGTTTTTTCGCTAAAATGATTCCAAAGCGGTTCAAAATCGGTATAATACCTTTGTAAACAAACTCTCAATACGACAGACAACAATCGCTAACACTGAAGTATAGTACTGAGTATATAGCGTTAGCAAATTGACATCCGAAAATCGTTTCATGTGATTTCCAAAGCTACAGAAACACGAGTGGATATTATCGATAACACGGTGGCAGCAAAAAAACGTTAAAGAGGCAACATGTTAGCAGTACTTTATCGTACTTATGTGATTTTTTTTTCACTAAAATCAAGCCAAAGTGAGTAAAATCTGCCGATAATTGTTTCACAACAAGCCTTCAACGCAAAAACGAAAATAGCGACCGCTACCGGCAACATTGTAGTCGTACCGCGAAGTACTACCGCCATTATTCGCTCCCGGAAGGGGATTCATTCGCTTTCCATAAATGTCAACGATAGCACCCACTACTGACGACACGACGGCAGCGAAAAAATGCCACGAAGGTGACATGTAGGCACTACCTTATGGTACTTACACGGGTTTTTTCGCTTCGATGATGCCCAAATGATACGGACACGAAAACGGGAATTTCGTCTGGGACAGGGCGCCGATCTCGCGATAACAAGTGACAAACGTGCTGCACCCATGCCTCCCATGTTATGAATACAAATATGCCGTTTCCATAACACCGCCGACGACCCACTCGTCATCGCTGTTGCCGTGGATGCCGTTCCACGGACCACTTTGATGAAGGCGAAGAATAACAATAAGACACATTTTAATATTTTATTAATGTGCCTTTGATACCGGCCCTGACTTCTATATATTTCTTCGTTGGGGTAACGACAGGAGGGACGGCGGAACCCGGCGTAAATGGCTTTTTTTATGAATTTGTTTTTGCGGACGGGGGGATTTATGGGTGAGCCGGTGGTACCGGAGGCAAGGGATAAGGAATTTGGCCGGAGTGCTCGTGCGTATTATGATGGTTGGTTGTTTGTTCACCACCTTGAGTTATATTAATTAGGGATCTTACAATGTACAAACGATTGCAAAAGTAGTACTGAAATGATGCTTAGCAATCTCAATATAATTTTAGCAGTAGTTAGCGGTATAGTTGTGCAGTGGTGGTACTTATTTCATAATGTTAAGGTACTACCACATATTATGGGCACTAATCAAAGCCCACGCAGTATTAAGTCTTAAAGTAATGCGAGGTCGTATGGATCTGGCACCCGGTACTGACGGTACCGCGGCGGTACCGGCGGTACTGGTCGCAGAGGCGCCTCCCGAGCGCGCAAAAACGCCGCTCCTCTCTTTTTTGGTCATTTTCGGCGTGACATAACTGACATTCCGGCCCCGTCCGGATTAATTAAAATAATCACCGTCGGTAGCGCCACCGGCCTCCGATCAGATAGGCCGATTATTCCCTCATTAAAGACCGCATTATCTTTGTCATAAACCTTCTGGTCGGTCGCCTCTCCGTCCGAATTTATTTCTTTCGCAGAAGATGAAAATTAAAATTGACTAATCGCCGGCGTCCGTCTGTTGTTATTTTTTGGTCTCTCTCTCTCTCCTTTTCGTATACGTACGGCCGAGAACCGAAACCAGTTCCTGAATGCCGGTGCAATAATTTTCGCAATGAGCTTATCGACTCGGAGTTAGTTTCAGGTAGGTAGTGGGCCTCCTGATGAAGGTGCACCACCCGCGTTCGGCCTTGAAATCGACCGTCGTCGCAATGCGAAGAATTCGCCAAGTTCATCGCGACAAAAACAATGATTCTTACTTTCGACGGGCTTCATCTAGTGTAATTTCGCGTTTTTTCGGGAAGAAAACGGTGATTATGGGACGTTTTTTGTGCGTCTGGGCTCGGTTTGGGGCCATTTCGCCTTTTTCGCAGCTTGAGGAGGAGGCAGCAGCGACGACGTGCGGAGGTGGCTCTGTGGGGAAAGTCGTTTTTTTTTTCATTTGTAAATATTCCAAATTAAAAATCTCTTTAATTTTCGGAATTGCAACAATATCCGTAAAAAGGCATTTAATTTTTTTTTAAGAACCTTGATTCTCTTAGCTTCACGTGATTGAAGCAAACAAGTGAATTGCTTTCAGTAGTATCTAACATTAAAGTAGTAAGTGAGTGCTTACTATCGGCAACACTATAGCAGCGAAACATCATCAAAAAGGTGACTCATAGGTAGTACTTTACGGTGCTTTCACGATTTTTTTCGCCACAATGATATCAAAATTCACAAATCGGTACTTATCGCTTCGCGCGTTATGTTAAAGTATTACGAAATGTACAATAGTCTTGGCAGCATTATTTCGAAGTTCACTTGCGAACAAATGTCAAGAATGGTTTCAGCAGTCTTGAAAAGAGACACAATAGGTATTAAATTATTCTAAATTATTCATAAATTTACGTGATTACGGTACTGCTCACAGAGGGATCTGTAAACTCAACAGAATTGGTTATTTTTCAGTGGTACTGACGATTATATATACGATAACCAAAATTTAGAAACTACATTTGAAAAATTAGTATTAATAGTAAGGGTCATAAAATTTATTTTTAAAATAACAATGTTGGTAGCGCAGCTATTTGACACTTTATGCGGAGTAACAAAAAACGCCTCGGTGTTGCCAACATAATGTTTTAACATGTCATATGGTACTACCATGTATTATATTATGGCCAACTAGATGCTTGATAAAAAATAAAATTACTTACTACCAAGTGAGCAAAAATATTAGTACTAAGAATGCTAGAACTAGGTACTCGAAAATCAGCGATAAATTTGATCATATTTACACTTACAGAATTAGTGTTGGATTCAGGACCATAATATAACATTAGGGTTTAAAACAGTACTATTACGCATAGTGTATATGTATATCTTAGGAAAATCATTTAGATGGTAAAACGCTAAATAAAATGTATGTCATAATCCTGACCAACAATTTGATAATGTCACCTAAAAATTCTGCATGGTAAATCCTATTTAAATTTTGTATTATACTCCTGCAGTTGTGGTTTATGAATCCGCCATGATTGTTTATACCCTAAACATCCAGATAGGGGTTATCATAAAATAAATAAAATTTCGCAAAATCAAAGTAAATACATACTTAAATTTTATTTAAAAGAAATGTTCAAGTAAAAAAAAACTTAAATAAAAAAATTTAAAAAACAATAAATCCCTAAATATCCGGCTTCCTTCAGCTTCGTTATCACAACCAGTCAGTTTTGGTCTTGGTCAAAATTTTTATCTGACCCAAATAATCCCATCTCCCCCATTAATTATGTGTCAGTTCGTCTACCCTACCTGAACAAGACGTCACCTCCACCCCGCTTTCCGCCACACACGGTGACAAAACCCCCACCGTCCGGCCCAACCCGACAATGGCCATCCCCGAAGAAATACGTCCTCGCCGGTCCGAAGCAGCTCACTGTTGTGACTACTTTGTCGGTGTGAAACGGGCATAAAGAGCACCGGATTTGACCGCCTTATTTATTGCTTGTCATACTAACGAGGAATTTGAAAAATGTCATTATCGTGGGCGGTTTGTTAACTTTATGGTTAATCAAACGAATTAGGTGGGCAATTTGTTAGACGCGGCGTCTTCGCTCTTTTCGCTCTTTTCCATTATCATAAATCAGCTTTTCGTCGTCGTCGGGTTGGCAACGACAGATGGACCGGAAAATCGGCGCGATAAACGTGCGATTATAAGCGAATTAGGCCGGAGGGGTAATGGGAGAATAATTAAACACTGACGGCACGAATTAAACGATAAAACAATAAGACAAAAGAGTGTTGTTGTTGTTGCTGATGAGTGAGCGACCCCAAGTTGCTGTGACTTGGATTGTTTGGGGGGTTAAAATAATAAAGTTGAATGGAAGTTTTTTTATAAAAAGGAACAGAGGCGGTGGGGAACGTCGACTTACCACATTGACGAAGTCTTGGAATGTTATCGCCGGGGTGTTGGCAGTTCTGGCTTTCTCTAGAAGTATTTCGCGCTTTCCGGTCCCTACTCGGTGGCGGAACTCGGGGTCGGACATGGCAGTGACTAGGTCGGACCAGGGGATTTCCCCAAAGCCTTCTGGATCGTACTACAATAAACAATGGGATTTTTCAGAGTTTCGATTTTACTCCCATTATTTCGTTTTTCGATGTTTATTTTTGCCATTTTTCGATTTCACAATTTGTTTACTTTTAATTTTTCAAGTTCGCGATTTTAATTTTTCATTTTCTCGATTTTAAGCTTTTCAATTTTTCAACAAAAAGAAGAAATTTATTCATACTTAAACTTCGAAAAATATTCTAAAATCGGAAAATCCAAAAATCGAAAAATTGGAAGATTAAAAATCGAGATATGGAAAAAATCAAACATAAAATTGAGGAAGCGAAAAATTGCAAAATTGTAAAACTAAAAAATGGAACACTGAAAAAACGAAACATTAAAATGTTGAAATCGAAAAATGAAAAAACTGAAAAATTGCAATGAAAAAGCGAAAAATTATAAAATCGAAACATTTAATAATTACGAAATAAAAAATTTGAAAAATAAAAATTGAAAAATTGCATAATTGAATAATTAAAACTTTAAAATCAAAAATTGAAAAATTTAATTTTTTCGAATTATTAGTTTTTGGTTTTTCAGTTTGCGTAGTAATAAAAAAATCGAAATTGAAAAATCAAAAAATGAAAAAACAGAAAAATCAAGAAATTGAAAAATTAAACATCGAAAAATTGCAAAAATTGAAAAATTAAAGAAAATTGAAAATTTTAAAATAAAAATTCGAAGAATCGCAGATCAAAAAACTTTAAAATTGAACATTTTCAAAATAAAGATTGAAAAGTTGAAGAATCCTTAAAAATTCAAAAATCGATGTCATTAAAAAAAAAAGCTCCTACCATATAATATAAATAAGTACGATAAAAACAATAATTTTCGAACTTGCGCAAGTTTGAATTTGAATTTAGTTAGTGACCAAAAATACTTACCTTGTCGAAAAACTGACGCCATTGCTGAAACAAAAAAACCTACCGTTAAAAATTTAAACCAATTTAAAACAACAGCAACAGTTTTTCCGCAAACAAAAAAAAAACAGCGCGAGCGAAGCTCGCTACTCCGACAAAATAATACATACACCAATACCTAAATAAAACATGCGTTCTTAGAAAAATGTATTTCTTTACATCTCTTAATAAAACCCTCCTCAATTCGGCTTCGTCCGATTCACTGGCTAAATCCGTGTGATCGGTGTCGTAATGATCAGGATCATGATCCGGAAATGAATTCAAAGATCCGGTGATTGTGGCAATGTGTCCTGGTTCGATACCGGACTCTTCGGACTGCGCATGTGTTAAACTAGTTCGAAGGATGTGACTTGTAGAGGGCGATACTCGATGGGGCCACGCTGAATGCGAGAGCATAGTATGGAGACCTGCATAGAGCGGTTTGCGGCACGGCTAAGCCACTGGAAAAAATTCAAATTCATAATTTAGATGCAAAAAAAAAACAACCCATTTGTCGATCATATAAAAGACAACAATTTAAAAAAGAAAATGTACAGGGTATCCTAAATTTTATTTTTTGTTAGTTGCAACATTAATATAGTGCAAAAGATTAGTTTAATGGCAATTTCTACATATAAAAAAAAATCGAAAAAAAAAATTGTAATGTATATGTATGTTGTAAACAAAGAGATTATTGTCTGAAAAAAAATTCTAGGACACTCAGTACACCTACTACATGCATATGTTACAATAAAATAAACCCAATGCAATAAATCAGCAGAAGCACAAAGTCAACTAAATAAAGAATGATTCTAAAGTCAGTAGCAGTAGTGACAATATTGTCACAACCAAAGCAAAAAAGAATAACCTGCTATCTTATTTTCCACGTTTCTACTTACCTTTCTGGACGAAAAACGTTTCCACGCACACTTTCCCCTCCGCGACCCTTTTCAAACCCTTTTCCCTCTCAAACCGTCCAAAGAAAAACGAAAAAAACACGAAAACAACAAAAACACGCCACTTCTCCCACGGCACTTTCCGCACTCTTGGTATTTCCACTTTTCCCTAAACGTCAACCCAACGAAATTTCCCTGTTGTGAAAATTCATCCCCTTTTCAATCCCTCCCTATGTAGTCGGACTTTTAGGCAGAAAATCGTACATCATTTGAAGGGTTTCATTGATTTTAAACACAGTCAATCAGTGGAAGTTTCGAGGACGCGTATACGCAAACTAGGTGAGAAATTTAATGCTCCGCAAGAAAATGAGTCTTCGTGCTTGCGTGATTAGAGTTTTACTTTTGGTAAATTGGGTTAATTTAAAATTAACGAAATGGGTTTGATAATGTTGGTAATTTTCAATTTATCAGGTTGATTGTATTGTTTTTTTGGGGGGCGTGACATTGAAGTGTCAACAAGGAAGTGTCAGATTTTGAATAGGGACAATTGTTAATTAATTTAATTGTAAGCGAGTAACGGAAGGTGATGGTTCCAGGATGAACATTATAGAAGAGCGGACTTTTGAAATTACCAGCAAATTGGAGAAGGTAATTGGGGGATTGGAGTGACATAACCTCACTTTTTGACGTTTCAGGAAAAGGCCAATTTGTCATTGTTGACAGAAAGGTTGCAAAAAAGCTCACAAATAACGAAGGGCATTGACACTATTTTGAACACTTTTGAGGAGAGATTATCGAGGTTACAAGACACCATTTTACCAGTTTACAATGATACGGAGAATCTACAAAAGTCGCAACAAAGTATCCTTGAGATTGAATGAATGTCTGTGCTTTTTTCGTAAATGTGGTTCTTAACTATGAAAAGATATTGATCGCACCCTCGTCTTATTAGACAACGTTATTAGCTATTATAATGTATCCAGTGAGGTAGAAAGTGTTATTGAAAAAGGACCAGGTGAAGGAGGAATTGAATTAGAGGAATATCTTCACTCATTGAACAGATTAGCGAAGGCACAGAATTACTTTATAAAACAAAATCCTCAAAGCGTGGAACTGGAGAATGTTGTAAGTTTGTGTATCATTTGCCAACTGATTTTAATATTTTAAAATTTTTAAGAGAACGTTGTTTGATAAAGGTAGTGACAAACTTAACTCCGAATTCAAGACAATTTTGGACAAATACAACACCCCCATGCTGCCTGTGGTACTCCTGGACCTCATCAATTTTGATGGTAATTTTTCCAATTTTGAGATTTCCATGTAGTGACTTTTAATTTTCCACTAGATACAGGTACCAAAGACAGCAAAACTCCCCCAGTTCAAATTCCGGAACACAGCAAAGCCTACTTAATCAAAATCGCCACTTGGCTTCTGGACAACAACAGAGACGAATATTTGACAGTTTACGGTAAAGTCAGAGGTGCCGTTTTGCAACGTTCGTTAACGATGTTGAGAAACCACCAAAAATCGGTCAGCGGGGGAAGTGTCCACGGCGTCGCCAGTTCTCCAATGCTGGTAAAGTTTCACCAACCCAAAGAAAAATAAATAACTAGGTTTCTAGCGCCCCAAATTCCAAAACCGGCACGAAGCCACCCGAAAACCGTCAACCAGACGATTACATCATGCCTTGGAACGTAAAGCAAACAGGATGTTCTTGAAGGCGTCACAAACTTTCGAACACTCAACTGGATTAAATTTAGGGACACGAAGAGCGTCATCTCATTTAGGTATTTTTGTTTTGTAACTAGGTGGTCCAGGTGGTGGGTAATAATCGAAATTTAGATCCGTCGTACAATGGCGAAGAATACGACAACGAACAAGAAATGGAAAACTACCTAATTTGTGTGGTAGCCCTGCACAAACTAATGCAAATTGAACAATCTCTAATCAAAGGGATAATAGCCCCCACCCACCAACCCCGAGTTTTCGAACTCATCGTAAGGGAGGCCATGGACACCATAGTCCAAGATGGCGAGGTAAATCCACTCATTGATGGATGAAGCTACCAATCAAAAATCTGTCCTAATTGTGTCAAATTTTTTTCACAGAATATCGTGTCACGTGCGAAAAAATGCATCAGCCGTCACGATTTTGGTACCGTTCTTGTGGTTTTCCCCATTTTAAAACAGTTACGGGCGTTGAAACCCGAATTTGAACGTACGGTCGAAGAGTGCGATTTAAACGTAAAAGCCAAGTTTGACGCCATATTGGGGATGCTACATTCAACGGTAGGGCGCCATGTTTTCGCCGCCTACTCGATGAATGTGATTTTTTTTAAAGGGTTCAAAAGCTTTGGAGGATTTTATTGAGAGTTTGAGGTCAGATTCTGTGACTCAGTTGCCCAGCGATGGCACAGTCCACGAGCTTACGAGCAATGTTATTATGTTTTTGGAGCAATTGTTGGATTATACGGATACTATAGGGATAGTTTTGGCGCAGGATGCGAATTATGCGAAACAGTTGGAGCGGTTGAAGGCGTCTGATCATAATAAGGCGTTGCTTGGGTTATATATAAGTATTTGGTTGGAGCGGTGGAATGGCCTTAAGTTGATTGAAACATTTTTAGAAAAAGTTTTGGTTCAATTAAATCACACTCTTCTTAGTAAGAGTGAACAGTATGGAGATGCGGCTCTAAAGGCTATTTTCAGACTCAACAATAACAATTATGTTTTGAAATCACTACAAAGGAGTTCGCTTTTGGAGTTATATCTTATTTCAGAACCAAAATGTGAAGAATATTACTATAATTCCATTCAGGAGCATAAAAAGGCTTATTCTCAGAGGTGGCTATTGACATTAATTTATTTTTCATTTACTTATGACTGATATGTAGTTGGGGCAAACTTTTAAACTATATTTGGTGTGACGATTCCCCCATTAATTTACTCCATGGTGACAAACTTAGGGATAAAGATAGAGCTATAATTAAGGAGAAATTCGCAGTGAGTACATAATTACGTGTAAAATGAACATAGTCACGTGAATTTTAGGGCTTCAATAAAGAAATTGAAGACATCGCTAAGGTTCAAAGGGGTTACTCAATACCAGATGTAGAACTTCGAGAGAGTATAAAAAGAGACAATAAGGAGCTAGTTATACCTAAATACAACGCCTTCTATAACATGTAAGTGCAATAATTTGCAAGTAGTAGCTATGAATGTGATGCCTTTAGGTATGCTGGTGTACAGTTCACGAAGAACCCAGAGAAGTACATAAAACACAAACCAGACGAGGTGTCTGCCGTTATTGATCGATTTTTCGACGTAGCAGCTTAAGTGTGCGCTAATTTAAGTCAAAATAAAGGTTTAAAGTACTTACGAAGTTTTGAAATCTTGACCTTGCGCGATTCTAGAGGAAAGCAGGGAGAGGAAACTGTCATCCAGCAGGGTCGCCAACTATAATGACTTTGATTTTAAAAATTAATGCGCAATAATTGTTGCTATTCTTGTTTAATTCGTTTTCAATTAAACTGCTTTTTACACAAAATTTGTCTGCTTTAAATGCTATAAAAGAAATTGTTGCTATAGTCGTTGATCGTGTTGGCGCCCCTGCGCTTCTGTCAATTGTCAGTACGTCACAAAAATTATTTAAAAAAAAAAACAATTCCTCTTTCAGGAGAGCCTCAAAAACTGTCACCCCCAGGTGAAAACCATGCATTTTAAATTTTTAACGAAGCTTGTGAATTTCTGTTGGTTTCAGTGACAGCCCCAACCAGCACCTTAACCTAAAATGCTAGATGATAGAAACACGGATCTCTACCAATTATCGTACGTGTATAGCCGCAATGAGAAACTGCCCTATCAGTGCCCCTTCTGCGAACAAAAATTCCTAACAAAAATATTGCTTCGAGTCCACAAACAAAAACATACTCTGACTGACATGGAAGAAGACAGTTTGACCCTTTATTGCGTCGAGTGCGGCGAGACCTTCACCACCCCCAAGATCCTCGCAACCCACATCGCACACCGCCACCCCGCTAAAACCTTCCTATGCGAAACGTGCAACAAAAGCTTTAAGACCCGCCAGCAGCTCAAAATCCACGCCACGATCCACAGCAAAGACAACCCGTTCAAGTGCGAGCAGTGCGACAAAGAGTTCAAGCGCAAGCCCTTGTTGAAATCGCATTTGAAGAGCCACGACGACGCGAGGGAGTTCGAGTGCGAGTTGTGCGACAAAGAGTTCAAAACGAAACAGCAGTTGCAGAAACACATGATGTTGGTGCACACGGACATAAAGCCGTTTTGTTGCGAGCAATGCGGGAAGGAGTTCAAGTTGAAGCAGACGCTGCAGAACCACGAGAAGACGCACTCGGAGGAGAAGGAATTCCGGTGCGATTTGTGCAAAAAGGAGTTTAAGTTGAAGCCGCAGTTGCTGAATCACTTGAAAATACACAGTGATCTAAAACCGTATCAGTGCGATGACTGTGAGAAAAGCTTTAAGTTCAAGCAGCAGTTGCAGAATCACCAGATGGTGCACTCGGGGTATAAGCCGTTCGAGTGCGAATTTTGTAGTAAGGCGTTCTCGTTTAAGCAACAGTTGCAAGTGCACATGAAAATTCATTTTCAGTTGAAAGATTTTTTGTGCGAGAAGTGTGATAAGGGGTTTCGTACCAAGCAGCAGCTGCAAGTTCACCAGAAGGTGCATAAATAATGGGTTTGTTATATAGTTGTTTTGTTTATATTGTTTACAAATTTAAATAAATTATGTTTTGAAAAAATAAAATTCATCTCATCTTTTGACTTCCCGAGCGTAATACCGTGGTTTAATAAAATATCACTCCTACACTTGTGGTTTATGAATCCGCCTTGATTTTTTACACAATTTTTTATTATTTAATATGTATATCACTAACTGTAGGGTTGGCAACATGGACGTAATAAAGTAATAAAATCAAAATAACACGACGGCAAAATTCTTGCAACACTTTAATAACAAATAAATTACGAGACTATAAAGCAGCTTTTAGAGTTCACTTAGCGACAAACACACACACGTTTACGGTTGCAGTGACCTCCTCTTTTTCCTCGGAATAAACAGTGTACAGCACAGGCAGAATGGTTTAATTTAATTCCTTTCGCTTCAGCACTCAAAACATCGCAAGTAAATCGCCTAACACGAATATGTGCTAAAAAGTGAAAAAAAGAATTATAAAATCTAATCGAAATTTTTATTTTTACCGAGATTTTTACCTTGTTGACTGTCCTCCATTGGTGACAATTCTTCTCCAAGTGGTAAAGAATTGCTTTGTGAGATACAAATTAAGGCAAATGTTGCTATTATGACTACTGTAAGCGTGTTCATCGTGGATTTGTGCTAACACTGCTAACTAGTGTAATATAATACTAAACAAGAGAAGACACAGACGATTTATTTATACCCATCGTGGTGGGATTTTTCCGAAAGGTAAACAGTGTGGACAAGGGACTTCACTGTAATAATATGTTAAAAGAAAGATGGTTCATTGACTTTACAATATAACTGCAATTAAATACTTGTGGTTTATCTCAGTGTAAACAAGTGATAAAGTTTAAACTTAAGAAGTTAGTGATTTTTTGCTTTTACTATCCGCATAATGTCAAGGTCGCCTTATATTAAAACCCAATTAATTGTAGCACCACTCCTCAGAATTTTATTGGAAAAGCTTCCTATTTTCGTATGATTATTGGAAAAATTTGTTAAAACTGAATAATAACTTTTAAGTAAAAAGTGCATTTAACATGCATATTTATCTTTTCAATTGTACATGGTAAGCATTCAGTCACATTTATAGTTCAAAGAAAGTGAACAAAATAGGCTTTGATAATACTTATCAATTGTAGTATTTCTCCTCCAGACTGGTGATTAGGAAAAACCAACTAAGATATTCTTCTCTCGCGTATTGCTACGGGATGGAAGAAATCCCCTCGTTCACCTATATAAAAGAGCCGTTGATTTCTTGTAGCAGTAGTATCAACACCGCAATCTACAGTACACCACCATGAATAAGTTAACACTCGCCTTCGTTCTCGCAATTTTTGCCTTTGCGTGCAACTCTCAAGTTAGTTCACTGCCTGTTGGAGAAGAAGAGTTACACGTGGTTGAGCCCACTCAACAAGGTAAATTTGCATACATTTTAAATAAAATCAAAAATAACTAATTAGAAATATTCTCTTTAGGTCACATTCGTGTCAGAAGGTTCACCTGCGACGTTCTTGGTTTCGAAATTGCAGGAACAAAACTGAATAGCGCTGCTTGTGGTGCTCATTGTCTAGCTCTAGGGAGGAGAGGGGGTTATTGTAACTCTAAATCTGTTTGTGTATGTCGTTAAGAATGTAACAAAATAATAAAATTGTTATTTAAGCCACACAGAAATTATTAGTGCAACGTTGGTTGCGTATCTCCCAAAAACAAATTATAAAATTGTTTTTATAAAAATAGTATGGTAGTTTGGGGCCCTTGTATTAACAGCCCTGAATGACTCAGGTTCATGCTACACCGCTCTTGAAGATAGCGCAATCTCGTGCACTCTTTGGGTGTTTTTAGAGAATGGTAGAACCGGCGCTGCACTGGCGAAACCCCTCTTTTCCTGTCGTATCAAAGCATTGGTCCTTTCATTTCCGTTTTGGTCCATGTGTCCAGGTATCCAGCTGAGTATAACTTTTTTGTTGTGCTCAGCTGAAGCCTGGCTGTCTGCGAAAATGCAGGCAGATTGCCTCGTTTAATTAAACGCCGGAGCCTGATCCCTTACCGAAGACTGCTGTAGTTATACTAATATAATAACGAACAAGAGAGGAAGTGGGTGATTTATTTATACCCATTCTGTATCCTGGTGGGATTTTTTTTCTTGAGCTAATCAATATGGACAAGGGACTTCACCGTAATGTGTTCAGAATTATGGTTCACTGACTTTACAATAAATAAAACTGTGATTTATCTCAATCTACAGTTTAAATTCAAGAATTCAGTGTAATGTCAAGGTCAGGTTACTCATACAACGTTAATTATGTAATAATTAACAAAAAATGAAAATATTTGTTGCTTATAGAATTATTATTGTACTCAAACAAAACTGTATTTTTTATTTTTACAATGTTATTCGTTAATTGCATGAAGGTAGGTTAATTAATTGCATTCTACCTCCATGGTTAACAGAAAAAAAAAATAAAATAAAACAAATCGCCTAAAAATTACTGAAAGCCTGTAGTAATCATTCATTACCACGCACAAGGTTTATTGATTATATCACATGATCGAAAAAAACTTCCTCTCAAAAACTGTGCTGGCAATACTGTTCTTTTCCAACGAAAGTTACCTTTCAGTTTGACATTTCTATTGCTATTGTAATAAAAAAAAAATGCTTGAGACAGAACACACAACTTTATTGTCCACAGATATTTCCGAAATAGAGTCAAGCCAAGAAAGAGTGAGTGGTCTTACGTGTAACAAGTATCATGGTAAAAATCAGGGAGTATAAATCGTAATAAAAACGAATAGTTTGGAAGTGTAGATTTTGGCAACACTTTTTTTTAAATAACACTGTGACTCACTAGAGATTTTTTTCGATCGTATGGTATACTTTTCTACGTGTGTTTTTAATAATGCAATTAAATAAAACTCTATAACAAATTATTATATGTAATCAGGTGGGTTACTATTGAATTTTGTGTTACCTGCTTTACTAATTTGACTCAAATTTTTGTTCATAATGTTATAAAACCCACAGTAAATCACACACTTCTACAAAAATGGTTATAACTTTTTATGTGACTCAAATGACAAGTCGAATTTGACTTCTGCTGTAAATAAAAGTCAGAAATTATGTTTTTATTGTATTTATAATTGTTTAGATTTTATTTAAATGTCTTCTAGCTATTACGGCACATGTGGGTGAGAACAGTTCCCGTCATTTTTTTATGTAGTATCACCTTAATGACGTCGAACTTTCCGAGTGTAAGCTAAGGAAGTATGGTAGTGTTCATAGGACGAACGGCGACTGTCAGGTTTTCTCGACGTTCCATGACCTTTGGAGTACGAAAAAGGAGATTTCCCGTTTTTGTCTGTCTGTTTGTCCGCCATCAGATATCGATAGACAGATAATTTGTAAAACTACCACATCGATTGTTAATCACATTTTATGTGTTATGAATATCAAAACACTAACTAAACTTTGTCTAATCATTTCCATCAACAATGTTGTGATGATGTCACCTTAAAATTGTGCATAGTAAATGTTATTTAAATTTGATAAAATAATATAAAATAACACGTGTCTAGGTATCAAAATAATAAAAAAAATTGTTTCATAACATTTTACACTTTAACTTTGAAACTGCAAAACCAAATGTTCTGAAAACGCTTTAAAGTTAAACATTGTAAATCGTTAACCAAAATGTATTCGTTTACCCCCACTCCCTCCCACATTGATGACGACATCTCAAAATTTTACCGAATAAATACTATCTAAAATATGCAAAATATTATGATAGACTAATATAAATAAATGAGGAATCTATTCAAAAGATCAAATCAAAAGAACGGCTCACCCCATTTTCCCGAAAATTTAAGTACACCGTACTTTAATTATTAGTATTATACTGCACCTGTTCAAACTGATGTATGTGTCCTTGCTAAAATGTTGATCATATCATCACAAAATTTTGTTATGGAAAAATTCATTTGAAATATAGGCATAGCATGCTTCTTTACCTATATACTTTAACAGTACACGCATATTTTAACATATATAGAGAGAGGTCGTCATAAAAAATAAATTTCGCAAAAAAAAATTATATATTTTCAACAATCTTTATTTGTTGGCCTGTACTCAAGGGTGAGAGAGAGTTCTGTCCAAATAGCTTGACACCAATTTTATTACCGAAAAGTGCATTTAACACACATATTTATCTTTATATTTGTACAGTTGCGCTTATACATCAAAAAAATTGGTCGAAACTTATTTGGAATATTTCCACTTCAAAAAAAGTGACCAAAATACGCTTTGATAACATTTATCAGTTGCACACTCTCCTCCGATTAATGATGGGGAAGAACCGTCTAAGATATTCTCTTTCGTATCGCTACCTATATAAAGCAGCCTCTGACTTCTTATGGCAGTAGTATCAACAGAGCAATCTACAGTACACCACCATGAATAAGTTAACACTCGCTTTCGCTCTCGCAATTTTTGCCTTTGTGGTCAGCTCTCAAGCTAATTCGTTGCCGGTTGGAGAAGAAGATTTGCATGTGGTAGAGCTCACTCAACCAGGTAAATTTGCACCAATTTTAAGTGTAATAAATAATTAAAAATATTCTCTTCAGATGACGTTCGTATCAAAAGGTCCAATTGCAAGGGTGGTATTTGCACTAAAGAATGTTGTACTGCCTACTGTAAAAGTCGGGGCTACAGATACGGGTCCTGTCATTATAACGGCCCCTGTGTGTGCCAAAATTATTACATTGCATGATTAAGTACATATTTAGTCAATGACGCCGTTAAGAATGTAACAAAACAATAAAATTATTTTATTGCATTTTAGAACCATAATTTTGTTTATAAGCACCTAAATGCGAGCATAAATTAACCTTTGTGGCACAGATTAATCAAAAATTCCAAAGCAACGAATGGCTCAATTATTTAAACAAGCTTCTATATTCAACATTTATTAAAAATAAGGAAAATCATAGAGTGAATTGTACAAATATCAAATATCCGAACTGTCAAGTGTCAGCAAAAGGCGGAAGGGCATGCGCGGCGGACTTGAGGCCACGCCCACTTTGACCAACTTTGACTCAAAATTGGTTACTTTTTCAATACCACACCACTTGATATTCCCCTACGTCTCAGCTGATTAAAACTGTCAGCTGTCAGTTTATGTAACATAACATATTTACATATCACCAATGTCTCGTTATATTGTTACTAACACAAAGCAACAGGTAGTGGATTTTTGACAAAAAAAAAACAACATTTTATACATATAACAAATTTAATCTTCACGTGTATGTAGTGTAACGTTGGTTGCATACATCACCAAACCCACTTTTGAGTAAATTATCAAATTGTTTGTTTTTATAAAAATAGTGTGGTAGTTTGGTGTCAACAAGATTATCACACTGTGAATCAGTTCCCAAAATATTCTTACGACTCGTGTGCTAAATACAGCTCCAAATAAAACAACACGTTCTTTAAATTTGTGCGTACAATCATGAAGTTATCAACAATTCTGACAGTTTTACTCATTTCGTGTCTACAAACCGAAAGTACACCGACTTCTGAAATCATCACCGTGCGACGATCACCTTGTGACGTCATCGGTTACGACATGAACAAAGTTATAGTGGACCACTCAAACTGTGCCCGACTTTGCACCCTGCATGCAAAGACCACCGGATTCTGCGACGAACTGGGGGCCTGCATTTGCAAAAAGAACACACTAAAAAAACCTATGTAACGCAATTATAAAAACGTGTATTTTGAAAATAAACACACTTGAATATTCGATCTTGTAATTTTTAAATGAAGGCGCGGCCAACTCGACCAATCAACCAACAAAAACCGCAATTTCATGTTTTAAAACAGAAGCGATAATTCTTCTTGTTCTTCAGCTTCTTCGTTCACATCACACTTGTTTCTTCTGATTGTGTTATCAACGTGTTCTTTTATTTTGTGACGGATTAAGGGGTTCAAGCTGGTGAATTTAGCCGAGCATTTATTGCAATCGAAACTTGAGGTATGCTTGAGTTTATGAACGCGGAAATGGTTGGCGTTGGATGTAACGAAAGCGCATGACGTACACTTGAAAGTTGGTATGTCGTCGAGTTTCGGGTGTCTTATTTTACGGTGGAAGGCGAGACTCTGGCGATTCATGGTCCGAAATATGCATTGATTGCATTTGTACCATTTGTGCACTTTTGACAGGGTGGCCCTTGAAGCTGACACGTTGACTTTGTTTCGTGATGTATCAGGGTTGTGATTTTTCGGGTGATCAGTCAAGGATTTGGCGGCAGCGTCTTCTTTTAATCTAAAATCAGAGTGGTTCGTACGTTCTGGGGTACTTTTCTTCTTTAAAACCGCCGGGTTTTTGTCTACTTTTCGACATCCTCTAGCGTGCTGTTTCAACCAAATTAGTAAGGAGTACGTCTGGAATGAACAGTTCTTGCACTGATAAAGTTTGCAGACGAAGTTTTCTTTTTGTTGTTTCCTGCCGTGTATTCTTTTGAAGTGTTGGTTGAAACGCGTTGTTAAACTCGTTGTGAAATCGCACTGTTTACAAGAGAATATTTCTGGGAATCGCTTACACTCGAATTTGTCTTTCTGTTGTTTATGACATTTTACGTGGTTGAGCATGAAGAAAATTGACTTTGTTAAATATGGACACTTTTTGCAAGAGTGGATGCTTCCATACTGAAGCTGGTAACCCCGTTTGTTGATTTTTCGATATTCTAAAGCCATTTTTCTGGACCTGAAACAAAATGTGCGTGGTTTAATTTGAAGTTCGCGCTGTTTTAGGTTAGTTTGACTGAATGACAAGTTACTGATGACGTCAGCACTGCACCCATTTCACAACCACCGCCAACACACTCGCCAGAACACGACTATTTCTTTAATAATAATACTTAACCTCACTTTAGTTATACATTTATTTTATTTTATGGAAATACCAGTATCTTACCGTTCTGTGATCTTACCTTATATTCACTAAATGACAAACTTCACAACCTTTATAATATTATAAGCAATTGACTAATGCTGGGGAGCAGCCCGATGGATCACTTACTTCATACTTTGTACTAGACGGAATATCACAAAAACTATGAACAAATATTTTAAATCAGACTAGGGGGACTAGGTTAGATACTAATGGATTTATAATGTGTTTTAATATAAGAAATAATTCTGGTGCTTATTCTGGCATTAAAACGGTTTATTAGTAGTGTATATACTGTGGTAGTATCATGGTGGTATAAAATAAACATATCTGTCAATCAGTGACCCTCCACGAGTACGTTCATGAAATGGGTGAATAAATTAAACACGATTTTTGATGTTTCTTTTTTATTGAACTTGTATATTCCTCAAACCACATGTTAAAATAAAGCCCATTAAGTCACACTATTTAATGCTAATTAATAAAAAACTATTTAATAACAATTAAAAATCTGCACCAAATCACCAAATTCTACACATAATACTGAACGTACAATATCGCTCGCTTTGACATTATTGTGCTTAGATTGCGCAATTTTTGAAAAGTGATACCAACTTAATTAAAACCGCGAATTTAAAAAAAAGCAAAAAAAGTATAAAATTTTATTAATTAAAAGAATACAAAATCTTGTACAATATTCCAAAATGTTACAAAACAGTCTTGTATATCTCCTTGTCAATGCCGATTCTCCTGGTGTCTCTTCAACGAGTGCTTCCTCTTCGACTTAAACGTACACTTCTGGCACTCAAACCACTGAATCTCGTTCACATCCCCATGTACCTCCTTCTGATGCCTACTCCAGTGGTTTTTTTCGATCTCCGCCCCACACTCCTCACACTTCCTCCACATGGACCTCCTCACCTCCTTAGCCCCACCACCACTCCCATGTTTCTCCCTCCTGTGCTTCGTTAAAATGCTCTCCACAGCAGTGCGAAAAGTGCACTTTGGACACTTCATAATCTCCGGCGTGTGCTTCGTCTCCACGTGATACTTCAATGTCTGTTTCAACTTCGCTCTATAATCGCACTTGTCGCACTGAAACCACTGAATATTTTCCTTGGTTGTGTGTTTCGTGACAAGGTGTTTCCGCAAATTGGCCACAAATTTAGACTTGTAGTCGCAATGGTTGCACTGGAACCACTTCACTTCCAGATGGTTGTACCGGATATGGCGCCGTAAAACAACCTTAAGTCGGGTTTTCCAGTGGCAGTGGTTACACTCAAACCATTCGGCGTCTTCAGGGGACGTGTGCTTCATGTTGATGTGTTTTTGGAGGACATGGGCTTTAGTGGATCGATAGGGGCAGTGGTCGCATTCGAGCCACTTCTTGGAGTCCCAAGCAGGGTGTTGGCGCCGAATGTGATTCTGCAAACATTTGAAACGAGACACTTTGTAGTTACATTTGTCGCATGAGTAGTTCGTTTCAGGTTTTATATGTTGATATGACTGTATTTTTAGCTGTGTGTTTATTGTGGATATACAGTGTGGTTTGGTAGCGGTTTTTGTGCAAGTGATTTGGTGTTTGAGCCACGAGAGAGCGAAATGAGTTTGGAAGACACAGTTGGTGCAAGTGTATCGCGTGAGTAGGAATTTGGTTTCTTTTTGGTTGATATGGTGGTGGTAGTGTTGGATGTGCTGGTTGAAGCATGTGATTAGGTGGGTGGTAAAGCGGCACTCGTAGCATGAAAAAGTCTCCAGAATCTCGCCACAGTTGAATTTATGGTGGACTTTGTGGCGTCGGACATGGTTTTTCATGAAGAATATGGATTTTGTGTAGTATGGACATTTTTTGCATCGGTGGACGCTTTTGTAAAATTTGGAAGGTGCGGTGTTTGTCCCGTGGTATTCTAAGTGGGCCATTGCTCACAGAACGTCTGAAAAAGAAGTAAAATTAAAAAAACGAAAGATCAAAAATCACAATGAGAATAGTATGCAACCAACAATTCTTATGTCATAGAAAGTGATGGTACATGATGAACGTATTTATATTTCCCGCCGGTTCATTTTCAGGTTCGCCTACAACGAAATACCGTGACAGCATTTTGAGCATTTACGATAAAAATTCTATTTTTAAAAGGGTCAACAAGTTGGAATTTCCAAAGTCCTCACTGTTGAGGACTAAAATTTAAATAACTCACCAGAATAATATTGAAAAATGAAAACCAATAACGAAAAACTACTCAACGCAACATAATCATCAAAGATCATTGACATTGATTACAAAAGATGAGCAAAGTCGAGATTAGGTGTTTATTTTTAGAACACATGTTTGCGCTTGCGTAAGTCATACGATAATGAAAATAATGTATTTTACGCATTAGAAAAGTTTTTGTTTAGATGAGACATAATTACATTACACGCAGCTGTATGTAGTTATTTATGAGCAAATAATAAATTAATATGACCTTAACTGAGTAGGTAACCCTTTATACACAACACTAGGGTGCGTTAAGTACATTTTGACACTACTGGTGCAGAGATTTAAAACAAAATTATTATCGAATTACAGCGTTTAGTACAAAATAGGAAACCAAGTAACAATCTTAAAGTAAAATGAGAAACAATTTTAAACTTTTGAAAATTTTGTTTTTTGATTTTTGAAAAATGAAAACTTTTAACTGGAAAATTGAGAACCAGACTAATTCACGAAAAAGTGGCTGTTCCATTGAAACATTTTCATCTTCGTAACCACTACATGTTTTATCAACAGTTAACGAAAAGAGCAGGAGGTAAATACAAATTAATTTTATTGATTTTTTAGGTATCATTACAAAAAAAAAAAAATACAAGGTTTTACGCAACATGGAGTCAATTTATTTTTCGGAATGTACCAATCTCTTATGATCCTCGAAGTGCTTTTTCACTTTGAAGGCGTAGTTGCACTGGTTACACTCAAACCACTTCGTCTGCGGTGGTTTAATCAGCTTCCCATGTTTGCTCTTCGTGTGGGATCGCCAAGACATCTTAGTTTTAGTTTTATGCGGACAAAAATTACACTGAAGCCACTCAATTTCCTCATCTGGTGTATGTTTGCACAGTACATGCAATTTTAAATACGTTTTAGTAATCGTTTTATAGTCGCACTGTTCACACTTCAACCACTCGAGCTGATCCTCACTTGTATGTTTTCTTAGGATGTGCCGCTTCAAATGGCAGAGCCACAAACTTGTGTACTTGCAATGCTCGCATTCAAACCACTGACTCGGCTCGTGCTTCGTTCTCCTGTGAACTCTTAACGAGTCGGCGGATTTTAGTCTCACAGGACAGTCTTCACATTTCAGCCAATAAACAGTTTCTACGTGTCGGGCTTTATGCGTGTGGAGTCGAGCCATGTCGGTGGCTTGATACGGGCATTGGTCACATTGGTATCTACTTTTAACCTTGTGGTGAACAATCATGTGTCGCACTAAATGGATCTTGTTCAACGTTTTGTAAGAACAATGGTAGCAATACAACCACTTCGCATCTCCATCTTCAGGTTTATGTTTGGCAGAAAGGTGAATCTTGAATATCAAACTGTACCGAGTTTTGAAATTGCATAGGTCACACTTGAACCACTCGTCATGATCTTGGTGTTTATAATAATTGTGCGCTGTTAAACCGCCTCGGTTCTTCGTCACGAAGTCGCACTTTTCACAATTGAACACTTTTAAATTTAAATGTAGCTTTTTGTGAAGTTTGAGATCGGATCTCTCCCTGCTTTGGTATGAACACATATCACAAAAAAATTTTGCTCGATTGCTGTGAACGCTTCTCACGTGTTTTCGCAAGCAGGCCTTCCGGACGAAAGTTTTTCCGCAGTATTTACAGGGAAGCGGCTGTTTTATTTTCGGTTTGAAGTGAGACTTTGTGTGTATTTTTATACTGTTTTTATATTTGGTGGTGAATTGACAATGTTCACACTTGAACAACGGCGTGTCTTCACTCTTAACAACACGGGGCGGTTTTGCACGTTTGCATGTTATTACGTGCTTGAACCACGCTAGAGAAAAATAGGTTTCGAAAGAACAGTTTTTGCAGATGTAACTCTGCACAGACAGGAAAGATTCTGCGCCATTCTCCGGCTTTGCGATGTGATATTCTTCGATGTGTTTCTTGAAAAATAAAGTAAGGTTTGTCTGGAAGTCACAATCTTTGCAGAAGTATGTGTTAATGTTGTCTTTACAATCGAAAGGCGTGTTGGAAGAACGGTGACTCCTAACGTGATTTACCATTAGAAATAGTGACGTGGAAACGAATGGGCAGTAGTTGCAGTTGTGGACATGGTTATTCGAAGGGGCTTTCCACACAACGCTGTCTGAATATTCCAGACAAGACATTTGGCCAGAGCTGAAAAGGGAAGGTCATTAGTTAGATAATACGTAGTTTTAGGCGACTTACACTGTTTTAAGCGCGACAAATCAGGTACAAACTGACAACGAGTAACGGTCACCAAACATAACCTCAAAAACTAAACCAAAAACTGACGCCTGAGTGGCCTGGGATGCGTTCACAAATGTCTAAATTGCTGTGAGGAAAATTGGATCCTTGTGTAAAAGTCGAAGAAAAAAATTATGTTGACCGTATGTTTTGTAGAACCGCAACAACAAAGCCTAAAATTAGACGATCCCTGCAACAACTACTATCCTGGAAAATGAGGAAAGAAACTAGAGGATGGATAAATTCACTCACTCTTAATATATTGTTGGTTGCGTACACAAAAACTATTTTTTTTTTTCAATAAAATCTTAAAAATAAAAACAAACGTTACGTGGAAGCAGATGTGTATTAATTTAGCGAATGTATAATGAATATTAAGCTGTAAAATTAATATAAAGTTTTAAAATAAATGCGGTCTGTATAGTTGGTTGCATACTACATAAGTATTTGAACGTACCCCAATGGAAGAAAGTGAGGTTGTGTTATATTTTTGCAACAAACATTAAAATAAATTAAAACCAATATATTTGTCTGTAAGTTTTTTTAATCGTTTTGCCACCCCTAATAATATATTGTAGCCACAGATACCAGTATGTCGCTTGTAGACGCCATCAAACCAAAAATTGAATTCCCTCTTCGCCTCCAAGAATCGTGCGTTATTGCGAAAAACCACCCCAAATATTATCACTTTAATCAAAGTCTTTTCATCTGTGAAAACAGCACTTTGGACCCATACACCTGCAGCTCTTGCAACTTTGTGACCGACCTAATCACAGATCTGCAAAAACACATTACAGAATACCGCAACTGTGACCGAAAACCACTGGCTTACACTGCACAGAATTATGAGTGCAGAAATTGCACTTTCCAGACACATTTTTCGTTAAAGTGGCTGAAGCACGTCGTGAGTGAGTGTGTTGGAACCGGTTTCAGTTTCCACTACGCTTGTGACCAGTGTTCATACAAAGGAAAAAAATTGTGTCATTTAATCACCCATCAAATAACGCAGCATCTTAGAGAAATTCCATGGCATTATTGCAAAAGTTGCCCCTACAAAACCAAGGTAAAGCACAATTTAACCGTACATATAATTGCGAAGCACACAGCTGATGAAGACATTAAGTGGTTGAAGTGTGACAAGTGTCCATATAAAGCCAAAATACTGAACTCGTTGAAGAACCACATTAAGAGTGCACATTCACTTGAAAGCGCTGTGACGTGGTACGAATGCGACCAGTGTACTTATCAGACGAAACAGAGATCAAATTTAACAATACACACCTTGATGAAGCATTTCAAAGAAGGAGATATCAAGCGCTATCATTGTGATTTATGTTCTTACAGAGCTATCACAAGCACGAAGCTCAAAGTGCACAAGATTGCGCGACATACGGACGAGAAAAACATTAAATGGTACGAGTGTGACCAGTGTTTGTACAAAGCGAAACAACAAGGAACTTTGAAGTTGCATAAAATAAATAAGCATTTGGGAGATGACGAAATCCGGTGGTACAAATGCAAGGAGTGTTTGTATAAAGGCAAGACTGGGAGCAATTTAAAAAGGCACGTCATTTCGAAGCATATGGACGAGAAAGACATTGAGTGGTTTCACTGTGATCAGTGTGGATATAAAGCGACGAGGAGGTATAGCTTGAAGTTGCACAAAGATAAGAGACACTTGAAAAAAGAAAATTGCGAAAGTTATGTTGCTTAGTTTTCAAATTATTTATAATGGATTTATAAACTTGTCGCCGATGTTGCTGTTTGCCGTTGTAAGATAAATACGCAGCCAAAGTATGCGTCGTTTATATCATCGGTTGACGTTGCCGTTCACGTTAGGTTTTCAACCAATCAAATTGCGGTAGTGTGCAGTGCTACCAGCTTGAAGGAAAATCCCCTGAAGTAGGGGGGACATTCAGGTTCCGTGTCTCCGGCTTTAGAGCACCCCGGCGCTCCCTCCCCCGGAGAGGGAGCTGGCGCCCGAGCGACCGCCGCTCCTGACCGAAGGCGCCACCCCCGGCGGCGTGAAGGTAGCCGCATAAGCTTGGTCGACCAGACGTGTTACTGACATCAGCGATACTAGTCGACCCAAAGCTTGGCACCCAAGTACGCCGCCACCCCATACGTTATCGGCGAGATTCCGGACCGTCACCGGAGAACGTCCGTCCCATCGTCCGGAATTTCGTCGCACATTATAGCTCTAATTGTGTTCAAAATGTTTTTCTAAGTAGGGCCAACGTTCAAGTAGGTTTACTATTTTATTATTATATGTATAAGGGATATATCTTAAATTTTTGAAAATTTTTATTGTCGGAGAGTTTTTATTTAAAATGAACAATATTTATAATATAATTATTTTGTGAATTATTGTTGCATTATACAGGGTGGATCAGCTAAAAGGAAACACCTCGAATAACTTTTTTGGGCAAAAGTACTGATATTAAATTTGCAAATGGAAAATAATAACCCGCGTGCATACGTAAATTCACTGCTTGAAAAAGGGAACGTAAAAAGTATATTGTAGAAATACCATTAAAAATAACTTTATTTGCATCACTATTTAACATTAGTAAATTATTGTAATTTTTGTCGCACAGTCAGTTGTAAACTGTCATATGTCATGCCGCCAGTATTTGGCGTTTAAATTAACATTAACAAAAACTAGTTATTATTTTGTACATTGAGAACATGACAAGTCTGCAGATTCCAGAAGAAGGTAAGTAAATATGGACAGCTGAATTATAACTGAATATTTAGAGCATTAAATTTCCTTAAATATTGACACTGTCATGACAAAGTATGAATGATTGTTTTATTTATTTAAAAAAATGATAAGTCGACCTAAAAATGTTGTGAGTTACTTGTTCAGAAAATTTTCTGATACGGCTCGTCTTCCGAATGACTCACCTCTCACTTGTGGCTAATTGTCTGTATAATTGATTGCATGATACGCATTCATTGATTAAAAGTGGTCCTTGCAAATGTATTTTAACTATTAAACATTTTGTAAATGAAATTGGTACAAACAAAAGTTCCCCTTTTAGACCAAAGTCCATTTTAATATATAGTTAAGAGCAATTCCGGTTTAGGAAACCGAGGCGAAACCGAGGTTTACTAACTTCTGCGACTGAAAATTAACAAACAAAATCAAGGTTTATATTTTTACTAAGAGCAAATTATATTCAAATATTTCTTACAAAACCTTCGTGACAAAAAAAAAACAACCTCCACAATAAATGTATACTTTCCTACAAATTTAGTCACATCTCTTATCACCTAATTACAGGAAATCACAGTATAACAAAGCATGAAAAAGCAAATATACATGCTACTGTAACTAAATCGCACACAAAAATTAATACTTAATACTGTTGCCTGGATGCCGGTTCCTAACATGCGCAAACAACCCCCCGCGCCTCTTCGACCTATACGGACAGCTGTCGCATTCAAACCACACGATATCCTTCTCATCCGTATGCTGCTCAATCACGTGTCTCTTCAAAATCGCCGATGTCTTAAACACCACCAAACACTCACTGCAACTCAGACCCTTCGCATCATTACTGGAAACCTTCACTTTATGATTTTTAAGCACGTGCCTTTTTAACAACGAGTTAAGGTTAGTTTTGTAGGCGCAAAACTCGCACTTTAACACGTGTTTGGTGTCCACGTGTCGCTTGAAACTTATCTCGCCTTGGAATATCGCTGGACACTGATCACAGGGATACGTTTTGGCGCAATCCTTCTGACGTTGCTTCATATATTCCACCGCTTTTGTCGGGTGGTGCTTTAGAGTGTGTCTGCGCAATAATTTCTCCAGTTTAGTTTTATACTCGCAGTATTTACATTGAAACCAGTCGATCTCGTCGTCTTTTAAGTGTTGACAGATTTTGTGGAAGTGGAGGTCTTTGATAAATTTGGTTTTGTAAGGGCACTGGTCGCAGTTAAACCAGGTGAATTTTTTTTCGTTGGTGTGTTTCGAGGTCATGTGGCGCTTCAAACTCACCTTACCGGGGAATCTATAGGAACACTTTTCGCACTCGTAGAGTTTCGACGGTTTGCTTAGTTTGGGCATGGGGGTTAAGTCTTCTTCGCTTTTGATTATTGTAGTTGGGGGTTCCTGCAATTCTGGTTTTCTGTGTTTTTTCAAGTGACTCCAGAAGCTTCGTCTCAATTTTGATTTGTATGGACACAGTTTACAATTCAACCATTCCCCTTTGACTGTTACGTGTTGGCGCGATTTGTGCTCGCGTAAATCCGAATATAGTTTGGCTTTGTAGCCACACTGGTCACACTCGTGCCACTTACTATCTCCATTACTACGCGTCACGATTAAATTCTCCGCCTTCACTTTATTAGAAGTCGTGTTTGATTGTGATGTTTGTGAGTGGGTTTTCATGTGAGTGGTCAAGTTATATCTAAATTTCGCCTTGTATGGACACAACGAGCACGGGAAACAATCGGTTTTGTCGTTCTTGAAGTGTTTACATGATTGGTGTTTATTTAAATTTCCGACGTATTTAGTTTTGTATGAACAGAGGTCACACAAGTGCCATTTAGTATCTTCGGTACTAGGCGTTGCGATTGAATTTTCCTCTTTCGGTTTGACCGGACTTGATGCTTTCGGACGAATTTCTACTTTGCTCTTTTTATTAATTAACTGCGCCCCTTTTGGATGCTTTTGCAAAACGTGACGTGACAAGTTTTGTCTAAATTTGGTTTTGTAAATACAAAACTTACACTGCCGCCAGTCGTCCGAACTAACTTCTCGGTGTACGTGTACTTGGTGTTGGGCTAAATTCCAAGAATGATTGGTTTTAAAGGTACATTGATCACATTTGTACCACTTGGAATTGGTAGTACCATGTTTTGCCATCACATGTAATTGTAGATTTTTCTTCCACTGGAATTGGTTCGGGCATTTGTCGCATTTAAATACAGCAGGACTACTTTTGTTGCCTTCGAAATATTTCTTGGAGGGGTGTCGCCTCAACACGTGACGCTTCAGCGAGTGTTTGAATTTCCCTTTGTATGAACAGTACCCACACAAGAACCATTCGATTTCGCTCTCCTTCAAGTGTTTCGCTATTTTATGGTTCTTCAAGCGACTGAACTTCCGGGCTTTGAATGGACATTCATCACACTGCTTCCACTTGTCGGTCCTCGCCAAATGCTCGTTCATTTTATGTGCAGCCAGAAGACACTCCCTCCTGGCTTTATACGGACACTGGCCACACTTAAACTGCGCCCCCTTCGACCAATTAGTGCTTGTCCTGCGACTTTTCCTGATCCCATTTAGTCTCACACTTGTTGGTTCCGGTACAGTGCACTTTTCCGGCGCCGGAAAAATCGCCACCTTATCTTTGAGGCACTTTTTCACCACATGCTGCATCAGCGTCAGCGAAAAGTAAGTGATGAAGTTGCACTCGGCACAGATGTAGCGGCGGACCTGAGAGTGTCCGTTCGGGGGGCTGCTCTGACTGTGGTGGTGCTGCCGGATGTGCTTCTTGAACAGCACGGTCAGACTAGTGCGGAAGCCGCAGTCCTTGCAGAAGTAGGTCTCGATGGTGTTGGATGGACAGTCGAAGAGTTTCTTGGGGGCTCGGTGACGTCTGACGTGGTTTATCATGAACAGGATCGACGTGGAGAAGTAGGGGCAGATTTTGCAGTAGTGCACGTTCTTGTTGGAAGTGTTGATTTGGAAGAACTTGTCCGAGTACTCGAAGAGTGCCATGGTGAGGGTGTCGCGTCTGGTGGGAGTGGGTTAGTGTGTTTGGGTGGCGTTTTGGGGTGGTACTCACCGAAATGGGGTGAAGATGTTATCCGCGGGTGGTGGATGTTTGTAATTTGCTTTGTTTGGGCATTGGGTTTGTTATAAACATAACCGTACAAGCGACAGGTGTATATAACCTCACTAATGGCGGCTGGTGTCTGTCAATTTTAAAGATGACAGTATGGGGTGCGTTCGGGATTAAGTGGAATTGACAGACGTTTTTTAAAGCGATGAAAGATTGTCAGTATTTTGATGCTGAATTTGGTTTTGTGGTAACAGTGCGGTGTTCTTTGTACGTGAAGGCACAAAATGTTTCAAATGTAAACATTTTTAATGAAAGCATGCTCATACCAACGAAGGATTGCCAATTTGCCACTATAAAATATCCCCACTGTGTATGATTTTCTATGATCGCGACCTAAAATTACCACGCACGGGCAAGACGAGAGGCAGGGGTACGGGGGAGAGATTGAGTAACAGAAAAGTCACTAATAACTAATAAGTCTACGCGAAGAAAAGTATACCATTCTCACGAAATTTGAAATATCAAAATAAATCTAATCTTCAGAGATATGAAAAAGAAATTTTACGTTACTCGAAAACTTTCGAAGTGACTTCCGTTCACTTTACAGTACGAAAATGCTTTCCTGGGTTTTCGGCAGTTTTATATTTTAGCGAAATTAGAAAGCTGTTCGAGCGTAGGAATTTCAGTGTATTTTGTAGCGTTAGGTTGCTGGTCATTTAGATGTCAACTATCAAAAAATCCTAATCTCACAGGTTAGAATTTACAACGTCCATATTTGTTGCAAATTTCCTCCTTTTATTACAGTATTACAATTTCTAATTTTATATATTTGAGGATTAATTGGAAATTTGCAATTTTAACTTAAAATTATTATTTCTATTTGGCTATAAGCAACCAATCATACCTACTATGCGTATTGAGAAATTACTAATCAAAAATTAAAAAGTTAAAAAATGAAAAAATCGAAAACCGGGAAATTGAATTTTAAATCTTTTAAAATAATATACTCCTGCAGTTGTGGTGTGTAAATCCGTGTCGAATTTTCACTCTAGACATCCAGAGTTTTTGGAAAAAATTCAAAACTGGATAACAATATGTTTCATTATAACTTTGAAACTGCAAAACCGATTGCTCTGAAATCTTGTAAATATTTTAAGCGTATCGTAATCATGGTAAATCGTTAAGCAAATTTTATTTGTTTATTCCCTCCTAAAAAATTAATGACGTCATCCCAAAATTTTTCCGAATAAATCCTATCCAAAATCTGCAAAATATGATGAGTCTATACCTGTAATTTATCACTGCATTAAAAGTTTTTAAATTTCTTAGACAGGGTGTCTAAAAAAAATACTGAATGAGTTAATTTATTTTATTGATTAAATCGGGAACGGCTTACCCCGTTTTCCCGAAAATTTGGGAATACAATACTGTTATCATTAGTATTACACTGCACCTATCCAAAGTGATATACATGTTTTTGCAAAAATGTTTTTGACATCACAAAATTTTGTTAAGGGAAAACTCATTTGGAACGTACGCCCAGCACGCTTCTTTACATTTATTTTAACGTTACATACATATCTTAATTTTAACTTATAAGGGTTCTCATAAAAAAATAATAAAATTCGCATAATCAAATTTTATAATTTTTCGAAAAAGCTGGATTTGTAGTATTGTATTTTAGAGACAAGGGAAGTCCTGTCGAAATAACCTTCGACCAATTTTTTTTATAAATAAAGACCGATTTATAGTGACATATATAGACGTATAGACGCACTGTAAAAACATGAACAATACAAATCTGACATTTGCGTAGTAAACGGGGTGGTTTTGCATGTGATTAATTGAATAATAACGAGACTGATACAGCAAGACAAAATAGTTTTATAATAGTTAGGAGTAATAAATAATAAAATAATAATAATTTATGTAACATTTAATATCATTTGACGGAACACTATCACGTCCTTGGATGCGCGTTATAAAAAATGATAAATAAAATTATAAGCAAATTAATATTATTAAAATTAAATTAAAAGTGAACATGAATTTAAAGGCAATTTTTTTTAATGTGGTCACATTGCAATATTCACGTTAAAAACTGCCATTTTCATCAATCCTTAACTATATCACAAGAACTTCCATTACGTCACCAACACAAATCAACAGTGGTTGGATTTTGAAAAAACGAAAAAAGCAGCCTGAAATGTCAAAATTCCTATAACCCACTCAAATTAACTCGTTCTTCTTACGATGTACTCGGATTTTGTGTTCTGTCACTCCATGGTTCCTTTTCGACCTATACGCACACTGATCACACTGAAACCACTGGATGTCCTTTTCGTCCGTATGCCTGTCAATGACATGTCGGTCCAAAACCTGCCGCCGCATAAATCTCATTGGACACTTCTCGCACTGATACGGTTTCAAAAAGTAGTCACTGCCCCCAAACTTGACGCCTTTCAAAGTGTGGCTGCACAACACATGTTTCCCCAGCACGTGCTTAAATTTGGCTTTGTAATCACAATATGTACAGTGAAACCACTGAACTTCGTCATCTTTCAGATGTCTGTATATCTTGTGGGTTTTAAGATCACCTGCTGACTTAGCTTTATATGGACAGTGTTCACAGTGATGCCACTTGATGTCTTTTTGTTCACAGTGTTTTCGGTTTATATGTGATTTCAAACTCTGAGTTTTATTAAATATTAACGGGCATTTTTCACACTCGTATAATTTGGTATCGTGGATGGGTTTATGAGGTTTTGGTCTATATTTTTTGGCTCCGTGCATTGAAGAGATGTGTTTTTTCAGGGCGCCTTTGAATTTAGTTGTGTGTGGACAGTGGTCGCACTGATACCACGTGATTTCATCGTCTTTCAAATGTCTACTTATTTTGTGACTTGCTATATCTTTAAAGACTTTGGTTCTGTATGAACACTGGTCACAGTGATGCCACTTTATATCTTTTTCATCTAAGTGGCGATTTTTTATGTGTAGCTTTAAAGTACACTTATTTTTACCTTTATATGAACATTGTTCACACTGATACCATGTAATTTCGTGGTCTTTTAAGTGTTTCCATATTTTATGTCTGTTCAAGTGAGATTTCGTCCCTGTCACATATTCACACTGATCACACTGATGCCAATTGTTTTTATTTGTACTTCTAGGGCTTATCTTCAGTAACTTCGTTTTAACTTTCCCATTTTGGTCATTACTATGTTTTTTCCTTCTTTTTAAACAAGTTTTTTTCACGTGTTGTAACCATTTCATGGCAAAAAATGTCCCAAAGTTGCATTTTTTACAAAAATAACGCTTAACTCTAGTTTTTTCTGTAGAAAAACTTTTTTCACTCGGTTGGCTGTGGTGATCCTTTACATGGTTTTTCAGATTTATAGTCAGATGTGTTTTAAATTCACAGTCTTTGCAGTAGTAGATCTCTAATGAGCTTGTTTCACAATTAAACCATTCTTGAGCTGTACGGTGACTTCTGACGTGATTTACTATTACGAAGATCGACGTGGAGAAGTATGGACAACGCTTACAATAATGAACATTGTTGCGGAGGCTTGGAAAATAGATGTTTTCTGAATATTCCAGGACTGACATGAGAGTTGATAAATTCAGCTGTTTAAGGCGGTCGTTAAGAATGCGATGATAATAATATGTGAATACTTACCAAGTGTTACGACACACATTGACTTATTAGTTGCAAAAACTACATAATCGGCCTGATGTAACATAACCTCAAAAAGTAAATTGACGTCTGAAATGTCAAATACGAGAGTACGTTCATTATTAAAAACCAGTTGAAATCATTTTCGCGTGAAAACAAAAATCCCCTAATCTTGTTGTGCAGTGACTAGAGAGCGTGGAGACACAGGTGGAGATTACGTGGAGATACAGTGAAACCTGTCTATGCCGGACTTTGTAGAAGGCGGAAAACTGCTCATCGCGGAAATTTTCCGCAGTCCCGTTTTTTCAAATACCTAATTTAATGTATTTTGGTCCGTATAAGCCGGAAACTGTATAACGCGGAAACGGAAAATATTTGTAAGTCCCAACGTGTCAAAATACATGTACCCAACTCTGTGTAAAACGGAAGCGAGAACAAAGTTGATGATTTCTACGAAAAATATATAATTCAATTCGTGGACCTGCAGGTGCATTTTTTGTCAACAGAAAATCACTGTTCTCAATTCTCATTTAATTGGTGTCTCTCGTGGTTATATGTGTGTTCGCAATGGCCCATAAAACGACCAACAATAACAACAAAATGGATTTAATTAATGTACACGAGCAGCAAAATTTGAGTGTTAAAGAAATTTGCAAAAGTTCGGTTGTAAAAAACGCAAGTGTCTCAAATTATAAGACATATCCCGAAATAAATTAGAGAGTAATGGCAAAGCGGTGAGTGTGTAGCCAAACTTTTGCAGTTGAGAACAAGCATGGAAAATATATCTAAATGGCCGAAAAAGCAAATAACAATAAACAACTATTTCAAATAATTCTTTTATATGTACCTATGTATTCAATTTAGTCAAAATTCATTTCCGTTTTATAGAGGTGTACTTTCCGTCATAGCCGGGTTTCCTGCAAAAGCCGGAACCCTGTTTAAGACGGATAAAAATTTTGGACCCACGCGATTCCGGCATAGACAGGTTTTACTGTACTGGAGAATAAAGTGATTTATGAGTGATTTGGTTTGTTTTGAAGGGACAATGTACACATTTGCAATAATGCTCTAAGGGAAAAATAAGTTACTTTTGGTTGAAATACATACATAGCAAATATTACCAAAAAGTTGAAAAATATAACCTCAAAAATCATGAAATGACAGATGGTAAATTGTTCATAAACGCCATTTAAATTAATAAGCATAACGTACTATATTTATTCACAAGTTTCTAAAAAATTTGTAACAAAAATTACTTTAATTTAACAAAATTACTTATACTTATACCAGTCTTATATGTATATACAATGCCTTCTAAACTTACAAGCCACGCTGTTACATTTGGCAACGCTGCAGTAGGCTGTTTAGGTAGTCCTACGCGCTAAATGTCGCTTGGTCGCGTGTATCTGCAGTGTGCGCATAATCGTTCAATATTTAATCTCCAATGCCGAAAAAGTTTAAAGCAATAAAAATATTACAACGGATAAAAAAATCAAAAAATAATAATTTCAACTGACGGTTGATATCTTTAAAATGCCTTTGCTGTAATATTGTTTGTGAATGTTAATTTTACGACACAACAATGAAATTAAATACCGCAAAAAAATAATGTGAATGGTTTTTCAAAAGAGTGTGATTTCATATATGTAGGTACTTACGATATTTTTAAATAAGACAATTCAAGACCGTGACAAGAGTTAATTGTTCCACTACTGAAAACCGAAAATGCTTAAATTGGGCTCTTAATTCAAAAGCTTTTAAAAATTCGACCCGAGATCGGATCGCACATTGAAGGGCTTGAAAAAAATATAAAAAAATTAATAATCAGTTTATATTAAACAAAATAAATGATATTCAGTACACAAATACATAATATTGGTCGGTAACACATAACGCCTACATATCTATAATAGTTATAATATGTATAAATGAAACTTAATTAAGACCATAATATTAAGACTTATTTTTGCAGAGTATCCAACTTCCTTTTATTCTTACTGGAATACACAAAATCGTTACAAATTTTAGAATAATTGTTTAATACAATATTGGCCATTATAGAACATACTTTTTTGAAAATATCTTGAAGATTTGTCCCACAAGCACAACCATCGTCAACATTTAAAAAAAATCATTCTCCTGTAATCGACGCATGGTTAATTTAGTAATAATGTTTTTGTGGTTGGAGTATTGAAAGAATTTTTTTTCATAATCTTCTGATGTAATGATAAATTGAAAAATGCTGGCCATTTGATTAAAAACATATTTGATTTCGTGTGAAGGAACAGACAGCCCTCCTCTCTGTAGGTGATCAAAATATACATCTCCAGTACCACAACCTTTTCCTACTCTCAATAATTGTTCACATAAAGAGCATGACAGGGATTTTAATACTGAATGTGAAACATATCCGCAAATATAATTCTGAACAGCTTCATCAGGTACAACTTCCTCTAGATGAAAACTGTCCTCTAAAATAACGGCAAAATCAGAAATATCTTCATCGCTAACTTCAGATACATCGTAATTTAATGCGTCCTTCAAAGAAATTGTACCAGCACCTACTGACTGAAAGAGTCTTCTTAGTCTACACTTTTTTTCAGACTCTAGAATCTGTCGGACAGAAACATGGTAATTGCTCCCAGATAATCTGCGATACAGCCCAAACCGTTCTTCCAGATTGTCTGTTTCGCATTTTTCTGGTAAAATATAATTTACTTTCAAAGTCGTTAGAGAATATTCGGCAAACTTTAACAAAATGGAAGTACTTCGAAATAATGCTGAAGCCGTATCCTTCGATAATCCGTCTTTATTTAAGGTTGACCACTTTTCTAACCAGAGCAAAAATTTTTTTAAAAACTGAATTTTTTCATCGTCCATGCTGTGAATAGGTCCTGAAAATCTGTTGCGTTTAGCAATTCCTTTTACAATATTCTTGGTGTTTACAATATCCCACCAATTTCTGATTATTTGCAAAAAATCAGCAGTTTCATGATAGGCTGGAATTGTTTTTAATGCTGCGATAGTGGTGTCGTGAAATACATTATCCGACAACTTAACATTTTGCCTCTCAAAGTTATTGGGATATAAGGTTTTCCTATTCAATTTGAAAGCTTTCTTAACCATTAATTCTTTCTCTTGATTATAAAATATCCTAATATGTTCTAAACGTGCCTGCTTAACATGTTCGAAATTATTAAAATCTGGGTAAGTGAATGTTTTCAAATTATCTTTTCTATTTAACCAATTATTATAAATATTTTTGAATAAATGCACAAAATCATACGTTAAAAATATAGGCATATTACTGTGTAACGGATTACAAAATGTATCACCTGATACCAAATTTTTAAAAAAATTTTGGTTCAATCGATTGTTATCTGTAATAATAAGTATTACTTTAAAGTCACATTTCTGAACCACATTGATTGTTTCCAATGCAGCATGTTTTAATTCTTCCCCAGTGAGATTATTTACAGGATACAGACGAACCACTTCTTTAAAATTTCCAAAAACTGCAGTGATCATGAATGTTACAACAGTTTTTGCCGCCTGTGTAGGATGGTTTTCTGCCATACCGACAATGTTATTATTTTTGAAACTTATATGACTATGAACATAAATCTCATCAATCAATAGGGCCACATATTTTTCTCTTTCAGTTAAATGGCTAGCTAAATGTTCAATATAATGTGTTGTACTGGTAGAATCATTTGTTGAAACATTGAAACCTGAAGACAATTGCTGCAAATATCGTTTATGTGGCAGAAAAAAGTAGTCTCTCAAAATATTGTATGCAGGCACAGATTGTGAATATATCATAAATGCAAATAATAATACTGATGAACTGTATTTGCTCTTCTTCTGACATAACATTTTAAGCTGCTGCAGAATACTGTCCAAATACTTCTTATATTTATATTCATGATCATCATTCAACAATGCATGTGCTTTTTCTAAAAAAATATATGCTTTATTTATATAATGTTCAGGAACAGTATCTTCTCTATGTGGTACATTTTTGTACCGCAACAATAAATTTTCAAATTGTGACCATTTGGTTAATTTTAGAGTACCAGTAAACAGCCACCGCAAGTCATTATAAGATATCTCATTACCTTTTACAAACACTTTTACTCCTAAATCGTTCCTTATGTTAACACTACAAACGACTGTAAGTTCTTGAATTTCACAGTCAGTTTGATGATCAATGTTCAGCACATAACACCACACACCATCTTCTACCACTTTAAAACTCCACTCTGATAGATTTTGTAGATGATTTTTAAAGTTATTTACAAAATTATCGTAGCCATTGATATTGTCACTTAACAAAAATTGTTCAATTTTTGCAGCATGCTGTTTCTCCAACTGAATTCTTCTTTGTTCTGGATCTTTTCGCTCTGGCACTAAATCCACTGAGAGATATCCTGGTAAATTTTTGAAGATTTGGGGTACAGCATCCTTTGTAAGTTTTGGATATTTCAACAAGACTTGCTGCCTTTCCCCATTTGGCTTCACACAAACTTGATATTTAACAACATGTCGATCGTTAAAATGATTAATACAAACTGCTGAAGTAGCAGAAGGGGTCCAATCTTTACGTGGTATTGCTCGTATCCACACATTTTTCCGGGCAGGATCTTTCGGAAAGGAAAATGTTGTCACAGTAGTGTTGGTTTTTTTAATTTCACTGTCATAATTAGATTTGCAGGCTGGAACGCAACACCTACGAGGCATCTGCAGAAAATCAAGTTTTGAGGTTAGGTACATTAATCTGTTAATTAATAATGGCTTTCTTGACTTGACAGCAACAACAATTGTAATAGACTTACAACTGGGTTTAAAGTAAAGTTAAAGCTTACCGTAGGGTGGTTTTAAATAACAGAAACCGTCTCAAAAGTAAAAAAATTCAAACACAAACTGCTCACGTGAATTGGATGACATCGGACTACCTTACAGTGTTGCCGATTTTCAACATCATGGCTTGTAAGTTTAGAAGGCATTGGTATATACAAATAATATATATGTATATTCAGGAATCGGGAGCAGGAATATTTTACGAATGCAAGGTTATGATTTTGAACGTACTCATGCTCCATGCTGAACAGATGATAACTGACAAGTGACAGTTCGGTGTTCTAGGTTCTGTTTACTAAAAATTGCGAAACTCTGCATTTGTTCTTGAATAATTTTAGCTCGTTCCTTTCAATGTCCGTTAAAATTGAAGAAGTTATACTTTATTGAAGCGTTGAAGGACCCCATTTAACGCAATATGTCACTGTTAGAATACTCGGGCAATCTTTACAAACGACCACAACACCAAAGCCTCCATCACTGCAAAAAGTGCTCGTACATCACAACAGCCTACTTTATAATGAAGAACCACATGACACGCCACGACGCACCCCAAAAACCCTTCGATTGTGCAAACAACCGCCCTGAAATGTACCTGTGCAAAGACTGCAACTTCCAAACCTCACTAACTATCTGCCTTAAAAACCATATCGCAGACTGCCACACTCTCATGCAAAAAACAGTAAAAACCCTCCCTTATTTGGAAAACACAGTACAAAGCTATATTTGTAAAAAGTGTAAATTTGAAACCCAATTTTTACTGGAGTGGCTTAAACACGTCAGGTGTTGTGGACACAAAGAGGAACGACAGGTAGCCAACAAGAAACTGTTTAGTTGCGAGTTTTGTCCATATACTTCGACCCGCAGACCGACTTTGGAAATCCACAAAACCCTGAAACATCTAAATGATGAAGAAATCAAGTGGTACAAATGTGACCAGTGCCCCTTCAAGACAAAAACTAAATACTATGTAAACAAACACAAAGACCAGCATCTCCAGATTTGTAAAATCTGCTTTAAAAAGTTCAAGTCAAAGGAGGAGTTGAACGACCACGTTAAAAACCTGCACTTGCAGATGTCGTTTTTGTGCGAAAAGTGTGCTTTCTTGGCCGGTTCGGCTACGGAACTACAAAAACACGAAGAGAAAAAGCACTCGAGATTGGAGTCTTCGTATGAAAGAGGTACAGGGTTTCGGTGTCGGATTTGTACCTACCAAGCCAAAGACCAAACAGAATTGAATTCTCATAAAATGAAACTACACGTGGAGAAGCGATTCCAATGTCAACATTGTCCCTATAGAAGTTACTTAAAGCAAGCCTTACACACCCACATCATCGCAAAACACACAAATCCTAGTGAAATAAGCTGGTTCTGATGTGACCAGTGTGATTACAAAGCCAAAGTCAAGCTGAGTTTGAATATACACATGCTGAGTAAACACACACGTGACGAAGACATAAAGTGGTTTAAGTACGAACTGTGCCCTTATAAAGGGAAACGGAAGTACGATTTGAAGTCGCATGTGATGTACAGGCACGCAAAGAGCCACTCTGTTAAGTGGTTTGAGTGTGACAAGTGTTGCGCTGGGAATGGTTTAAAAAATTGTCTCAAGGAGAATAAAATTTATCAGTGCGACGAGTGTCCGTTTATTGCGAGGATGAAGTCAAATATGATACAACACAAAAAACAGGAACATCAAGTTGATGGAATTTAGTTAAAGTAGTGGGGCAAGAATTTTCTGTGATTTACCTCTGGTTTTCTAGGCTAAAACATTAAAATAGATAAAACTCGCACGATGATTTTTATTCGTACCTTCAAAAATTCAGGTAAACGTAACCAGTGACAGTTTGTCTATGATTTTCTACGTTCATGGAAGCAGACGTGCGATTTTTGAACGCACTACACACGACATCGCTTTGGAGTACGTTCGTCAGCGTCAACCGACTATAATTCTGCGTACGAGAATTTTTGGTTGCCTATCTAACAGCCAACAAACCCCCTTTTACATTAACATACGCTAAAATACGGTTACTCCACGATTACTTTTCTTCTTCGTTTCTTGTTTTCGTGCATCGCCCTATGGTGCCTCCTCAAGTGTCCCCCATTTATCGTCTTGTACTCGCACAAATCGCACTTCTTCCAATTAATGCTCTCTCGATCCATGTGCTTCCTCATCTTATGCACTTTCAAATTCGATTTTTTCCTGGTTTTAAACGGGCACTCCGCACACTCGTGCCACTTCTCTTCGCGCTTGCATCGCTTCAGCAACCGTGCCAGACTCCGTTGCACTCGCTCCTCGTGCATAGCTTTCTGGTGCCTTCGTAGGTGTCCGCTCGTCTTCGTCTTATAATCACACTGTTCACAATGCCACCACTTCAAATTCTCTCGCTTTGTGTGTTTGACAATCGTGTGCGTTCTCAAATTTGACTTGGTTTTGGTTTTGTAAGGGCACACTTCACAGTCAAACCACTGCCCTTCGAACTTGCGGTGTCTTGACAATATATGGGACGTCAAACTCGTCTTTTGTTTGCCTCTATATGGGCATTCCTGGCATTTAAACCACTTGATGTCCTCTTCGGAGGTGTGTTTACAGATGATGTGTTTGTTTAAAGTTCCCTGGAATTTGGCGCGGTAGTCGCAGTGTTGGCACTGGTGCCACATGATCTCGTTTTCGTGCATGTGTTTGGCGATTTTGTGGACGTGGAGCTCCCATCGGGTCTTGCATTTGTGGGTGCAGTAGTCACAGTCGAACCACTGGATTAATTGCGGATTTAAGTGGCGCGCTTTTACGTGGTTGCGTAGCGTGTTTTTGAATTTGGTGTTGTAAGGGCAGTGGTCGCACTGGTAGGTTCGGTTTTCGTGGATGATTTTTCTGTGATAGTATAACTGGCCTTTGGTGTTGAATAAGCTACAACATTCGAGGCATTTGTACGTTTTAATGTCTATACAGGAATCGTCGTTTTGCGATGATTTTGAACATTTGAATACATGTTTCAGCCACTGTAGGCCGAAATGTGTCTTGAAGTTGCAGTTTTTGCATGTGTAACTCTCTATTGGGTTATTTGGGGTCTCCTCAAGTTTAAAGATATGTGTAGCGAACTTTATTTCTTTGTTAGTGTGTTTTTCTCCGATGTGTCGTTTAAAAAGGATTGTTATGTCTGTTGAGAAGTTGCAATCTTTGCAGTTATAAGTTTCTAGTTTCTTTTGGCAGTTGAACGGTGTTACTGAGACACTGTGACGTCCGATGTGGTTTACCATAAAGTACTTTGAAGACGAGAAGTACGGACAAGATTTAGTATTATTATTTTTTTCTCCACATTTATAGCGGTTTTCCGAGTATTCCACGATTGACATTTTAGCTTAACCTGTACTCATTCAAATTAATTAAATTTGGAAAGCACAGAGCAATACTGACCAAAATTATCTCCAATAAATTGTGTGAAATGTTCAACTTGTTTGAAAAATAATAAAAACATAACCTCAAAGAAGTGCTTGCCCGTTTGACAGCTGTCAATTGTGAAAAGGCATTTTTGAGTACGTTCGCAAATACTAAACTGTTGAATAACTAATATGTATAAAGGCCTCGCCACATAGGCTGTGCTATGCTATGCTCATATTAAAACGTTATGTCTATGCTATGTAAAAAATACATTCACATAGCATGAACATGACATACAGTCACAGGTGGTGTTCACAACAGCCATGCCATAGAATAGTAGCAATTGGTAGCATAGCATAGTAGATGTGTGTTTATAAATAGTTATTAGTAAAAGCAGTGGTGAGTAAAAGTGGTCGTTCATTTTGAAACTTGTTGGTGTAGCTGACAATCTTAAATAAAAAAATTCACGAAGAGAACCTGATCGAATTACTTAAACTTTATTATTATTGTAGGAACAACCGTTCCCACAAAATCAGGTGTTCTACCTGAGGGCATTCGTAATATTTGTATAAATGTAAATATTTCCTATCCTTCGTTTACCTGCCCTACACTTCTTCATACTTTCTCTTTTCGCTTCTGGAACTTTCTAAACCCTTCTTTACCTACTTCCACCTCTTCAAATCCGAGCTTACCTGTGTACCATTTTAAACACCCTTCCTTCTTCTCCCTGGCACCCTCGAACAGTAAACAACGAAATAAAATCTCAAAACCGTACCGTCGCTTTTAAATCACCAACAATACCCACAACTGGTGACCCCGACGTGATTGAAAGAAGAAAAAAAACGTGAGTATTACCAGTGATCGCGACGAGTAGAGTGCGGAATTTCGAGAGAAAATCAAAAACAATGGCGCCAAACGATACAAATAGCCCGTCAGTCGATCGCGTTGCCGTAAAAGTTCCACCGTTTTTGCCCCAGGATCCGGAATTATGGTTCCTGTTACTTGAAAGTGGTTTTGAAGCGTCGGGCATTACGCAAGAAAACACTAAATTTGGTTACGCGGTCGGCGCCCTGGATGCGAAATACGCGGTCGAGATACGCGATGTACTCCTAAAGCCCAAAAGCGAGCGGACATACGAACTGCTAAAACGCGAATTAATCAAACGGATGGGGACATCAAAGGAAGAAAACACGCGCCGCCTCCTGGAGGACGGTCCACTTGGGGACCGCAAACCCACGCAGTTCCTCCGCCACCTACGAGTTCTCGCCGGGACGGAGTTCCCAGAAGAGGTCCTACAGACGCTGTGGATGAGACGCTTGCCCACACACATGCAAGCGCTGCTGGCCGCGCACAAGGACCTCACGCTGGATAAGAGAGCCGAGATCGCGGACTCCGTTGCGGAAGCTTATGGTAACCTGGGTAAAATAGCCGAGACAACCGTATCACCCGCAACCCCGTCATCGACCCAGGAGCAATCGAGGATAGACGGACTGGAACGCACCTTGGCGGCCGTCTTGCAAAAGTTTGCTGCAATTGAGATCTCCCCAATATCGCAGCCTCAAGACCGTTCGCGACCGGACTCGCGGCCAGGCACATCATCATCATCGCGTTCGCGTTCGCGATCGGGATCTCGTGATCGAATAAAAGGCGACAGCGGTATTTGCTGGTACCACTGGCGTTTCGGCGACAAATCAAGAAGATGCGACAAGCCGTGTAGGTACAGTTCCCTACCGGCGGGAAACGCCGAGGGCAGTCGTTAAAGACGGCCATTGACGCCTGCCCCACCACCCCTACAACAACATCGAGCCGTTTATTCGTCACCGAGAGGACAACAGGAAAAAAATTCCTCATCGACACCGGCGCCGATCTGTGTGTGTTCCCGCACGCCCTGCTACCAAAACCGCGTACGAAGTCCGCATATGAACTTTCCGCGGCAAACGGCACCGTCATCGCGACGTACGGAACAATCACGTTGTCGTTGAATTTAGGCTTACGGCGCGATTTTACGTGGAGATTTGTTGTCGCGGACGTGGTGAAACCCATTATCGGAGCCGACTTCCTGGCTCACTACGGACTCCTGGTGGACATAAGAAACCAGCGACTACACGATCAAATTACTCAACTCACTTCCATCGGAGAGGTGACTGAGTGTGAGATCCCGTCCGTAAAAACCATCGCCGGAAGTTCACCGTTCCACGAACTCCTCCAACGGTTTCCCGATGTCACACGTCCAGACGGAACCCCTAAGGCGGTGAAACATTCCACCCGCCACCACATCGTAACCACGCCGGGCCCTCCCATTGCGCAACGTCCCCGAAGACTCGCGCCCGACCGACTCCAGGCAGCAAGAAAAGAATTCGACGCCATGGTCCAGCTAGGAATCGCCCGCCCTTCCCAAAGTTCATGGTCTTCACCGCTTCACATGGTGCCCAAAAAGGGCGACGAATGGAGGCCATGCGGAGATTATCGTGCCCTCAACGCGAGAACCTGCCCCGACAGGTACCCGGTGAGGCACATCCAAGATTTTGCGCAATCCTTACACGGCAAAATCATATTTTCAACGATCGATCTGGTACGCGCATTCAACCAGATCCCGGTCGCAGAAGAAGACGTTCCGAAGACTGCCATTACCACCCCATTCGGCTTGTTTGAATTTCAATTCATGACGTTCGGCTTACGTAACGCAGCGCAGACGTTCCAGCGATTCATGGACGAGGTGTTGCAGGGTCTCGATTTTTGCTATGCATACATCGACGACATCCTCGTCGCATCCGCATCACCAGAAGAACACCTCCAGCACTTGGAAACTGTGTTTCAGCGTTTGAGAGAGTACGGCGTCGTTATCAATCCCATGAAATGCGTCTTCGGCCAGCCAGAGGTCAAATTCTTAGGATATCTCGTTTCCGGCGCTGGTACACGTCCACTTCCAGAAAAGGTCGAAGCAATCCGCAGCTTCCCGCAGCCAAATACAATAAAAAAGTTGCGTCAGTTCTTGGGTATGTTGAATTTTTTCAGAAGATTCCTACCTAAGGCGGCAGAGACTCAAGCACCTTTGAACGACCTCCTCCAGGGCAACGTCAAAGGAAAAACCCCGGTCAACTGGACACCAGCAACGGTGGCCGCATTCGAGGCGTGCAAGGAGAGCCTCGCCGGAGCCACATTATTGGCACATCCCGAGCCAAACGCACCATTGGCTATTTTTTCGGACGCGTCAGATTTCGCCGTCGGAGCAGTCCTCCAGCAGAAGGTTGACGGTCACTGGCAACCGTTGGACTTCTTTTCCAAAAAACTGAGTCCCACCGAGTCAAACTACGGGGCTTATGATCGAGAACTACTAGCCATTTATCTCGCAGTCAAACATTTTAGACATATGGTAGAGGCGCGCTCTTTCACCATTTATACAGACCACAAGCCGATCACGTACGCCTTTCAGAAGAAGAATACCGAGTCCTCGCCCCGCCAAATACGACACCTGGACTTCATCAGTCAATTCACGACTGACATTCGCCACATAGCAGGGAACGAAAATGTTGTCGCAGATACTCTTTCTCGCATCGAGGCTGTGGAAACCTCGATTGATTTCCAAGCTCTGGCAGCAGCACAACAGCAGGATGAGGAACTCGAGAGATTTCGAACAGGTAATACAGGCCTGCAGCTCAAACTGGTACGAATCCCAGGCTGCGACGTATCGGTACTCTGCGACGTCTCCACGCGAACAGCGCGTCCTTACGTCACCGAGTCATTTCGTCGAGCTGCATTCGAGTCGATTCATCGTCTATCCCATCCAGGCGTTAAAGCCACCGTAAAACTGGTGACGCAACGTTACGTCTGGCCATCGGTCAAATCAGATTGTCGAGAATGGGCCCGCAACTGCGTAGAGTGTCAGCGTTCGAAAATCTCACGCCATGTCTCTTCGCCCATCGGTACATTCTCGCCACCATCAGCGAGGTTTGAGCACGTGCACTTGGACATAGTAATTATGCCACACTCAGAGGGTTATCGTTACTGCCTTACCATGGTAGATCGGTACACCCGCTGGCCAGAAGCCGTACCCATTAGCGACCAGGAAGCAGCAACCGTGGCACGAGCTTTTTACGACACATGGATCGCACGATTCGGCACCCCGCTACGAGTAACCACCGACCAAGGTAGACAATTCGAGTCGTACCTATTTAAACAACTAAATTGTTTATTAGGAACCACTCATTTGAGAACTACAGCCTACCACCCCTCAGCCAACGGAATGGTTGAACGCCTACACCGACAGTTAAAAGCGGCAATCATGTGCCACCAGAATAATCGCTGGACTGAAGTCCTATCCACCGTCATGCTCGGCATTCGAGCAGCATGGAAAGAAGACTTCCAGGGTTCCTCCGCGGAGCTCGTATATGGCCAACCTCTCCGCCTGCCCGGTGAATTCCTAGGCATCCCACGCGACGAAAACAGCGCAGACAACAGCACCGCAAACTTCGTCAAAGAGTTACGTCAACACGTGCGTAACTTGAAGCCATGTGAGGGAACACGACATGGAGCAAAGAAGACCTTCATTTTTAAAGATCTCGCCACGTCCGAACAAGTTTTTGTACGCCACGACGGTCCCAAGCAGCCGCTTCTACAGCCATACGACGGTCCGTATAGAGTCGTAAGGCGATCGGCGAAAACGTTCGTCGTCAACATCAAAGGTCGAGATGTCACCGTTTCAATAGATCGGCTCAAACCCGCGTACATACTCAGTGACGACACGCCCACGTCAGAGTTTGGCCGCGACACTACGAGGACGACGCCCACAACAGACGAACTAGCGCCCTTCGCAGATCAACCCCACGACGACGACGAGATGCCAGCTTCCACAACGACGAGGACCACGAGGTCAGGAAGACGGGTGCGCTTCCCTGAGCGCCTGCAAAGCGGTTTTTCATAAAAAAAAACACTAGCAGGGGGGTACTGTAGGAACAACCGTTCCCACAAAATCAGGTGTTCTACCTGAGGGCATTCGTAATATTTGTATAAATGTAAATATTTCCTATCCTTCGTTTACCTGCCCTACACTTCTTCATACTTTCTCTTTTCGCTTCTGGAACTTTCTAAACCCTTCTTTACCTACTTCCACCTCTTCAAATCCGAGCTTACCTGTGTACCATTTTAAACACCCTTCCTTCTTCTCCCTGGCACCCTCGAACAGTAAACAACGAAATAAAATCTCAAAACCGTACCGTCGCTTTTAAATCACCAACAATACCCACATTATTATGTGCAATATGCAGTGCAATATAGAAATACAATTTATAAAAGAAGAAAATTGAGAAGGCTTAGGTTAGAAGTTTGAATTTTCTCTAGACGCGCATGAGCCAAAAACCAAACATTACACAGAAGTAGGATTCCATTCTACTTTCATGCTATGTCGGATTATTTCGAGCTGTGTAATGTCTATGCTAGTTCTGTGTAAAAAGTACATAAAGCATAACATAATGGCTATGTGAACACTCTCATTTAAATGTATTGTGTCTACTTCTATGTTTTTCATTAACATAGCATAGCACAGCCTATGTGGCGAGGCCTTAATAACACAGTATATAAAATATGGCATCTCCTCGGTGGTTCTTTCCCAAGGAGGTTTAAATGTATAGAGAGAGTATGCCGTGTACCTACCATATATCAAATTGTGACCAACATCTTCCTGGTGAGAGGAGTGAGGCGCGAGAGGTTTACTGTACTGCAGTACAGTGGCTGACGAGTTTCAATTTCATAAAATTTCAAGAAAAACAAAAAATATTGGTTTTTAAACAAAATGTGTGGTTAATACACTTCCCACACGTTCGCGTATCTGGCATTTGCAAACATCCACTAAAATCTAGAACAATGACAAATGTGTTAAAACTAATAGACAGCAGTAAAATCTAGTTCCGCCACTGACTCGTTCAATTGCTTATCCGTCAATTCACGAATGTGTACGAACACCATACGAACAGCAGAGAGGGTTTGTATATGTGCGACACAAAACAACGAGCCCAGTACTCTCTATAGGGAGGGTATTCTATGCTCTATACATTTAAACCTCCTTGTTCTTTCCCATTCTTCCCTGACCCGTGATTGGTTTGGTTGTTGGGTTGGCCGTTCCCGTTCCCACTTTGACAGCTTTGACATTTAAGATTAAGACACTTGCTCATTTGACAGGTGACACCCACAACAAACAAGTAGTTCACAAAAACGATCTTTTTATGTATACACTCATGAAAATTGAAATAAAAAATCACAGCTTAATTGTCGTTGATGTATTTTGGTGAGTTTCCCACTTGGCGAAAAATTAGCCTCACTTTCTCATTCCAGCAACTATCAGTGATGTTCACCTGGACCTCCCTCGAAAATACCTCCACAGCCAAACTCAGAAACGTCCGTAAATGCAAAAACTGCACTTACATCACAAAATGCCCCCTTGTTATTCATAGGCATCTCTCGTCGAAACCCTTCAAGTGTACAGAAAAACGTTTATCCACCTATCAGTGCCAAAAAAACTGCCACTTCAAAACAAACTTTCTCGTCTTTTTAAAACAACACTTAAAAGACTATCACAAAACGGGAATAAAAGATTATGACCAGCTCCCAAGATATGAGTTCAAACTGCGTAATTTCTCGTGCCACAAATGCACGTTCCGTACTTATTCCCTCCTCCATTTTTACAAGCATCGGAAAAAAGACTGCCAATATTCCCTAGCGACCATCCCCAGACAAAAACGCGCTCCTCGACAGGTCAAGTTCCACCAATGTGACCAATGCGCCTTTGCAACCAAACGAAAATGCTACTTGAAAACTCACACCCGTCTAAGGCACCCCACCGACGAAAACGTCCAACTTTTCCAGTGCCAACACTGCAATTTCGAGACTAAGTGGAAAATCGGGTTGCGCAAGCACGTTCTGTATAAACATACAGCTGCGGATGCTGTGAAGTGGTACTTTTGTGATCAGTGTACATACAAAGCCAAGACGAATTACGATTTAACGGACCATAGGATGTGGAAGCACATGTCTGCGGAGGAGGTTAGGTGGTTTCAGTGTGCGCAGTGCCCCTACCGAGCCAAGAAAAAGTCCAAGTTGAGGCAGCATGAAAGCACCCAGCATGTGGATGAGAAGGATATTGTGTGGGTGGTGTGTGATGAGTGTGGGTTTAAAACTAAAGCAAAGAGTAACTTAAGGGCGCATAAGCTGGCGAGACATACAGCTAGGGAGGATATTAAGTGGTTCGAGTGTGATCAGTGCGATTATAGGGGGAGGTATCGGAGGAAATTAGAGCAGCACGTAGTGGCACGGCATGGGAGTCAAGTTTGAAATAAATTATTTTCAAGAGTGAGTTGTTTTTGTTTTGTTTGTGTAGATTTATGTGTTTTTTTATGACGATGTATGTGGGTTACTATAGCGAGGTTACATTTTTTTGTTAAAATATATGGAAACGAGTTGATTCGTAAAAGTCCCATAAAATGGCGTGATAATTTTGTGAGTATTTGGTTAGTTAATAATAACATTACTATTAATAATAATAATAATGTATTGCAGCCAAACAGAAATACATAAATAAATAAACGAAAAAACAACAACAAAATAAACATTAACAATTGATATACATTGCATTAAAATAAATTTGTAGAATTGTTTTTCATGTAATAGCATAGTGAAGATTATCGCTGTTGGCTAATTAGTAATTAGTAAGTCTTATTAAACCCTTTAAATTTTCAGGAATAAAATTATACAAGAATAGCTATTTACGTTTATAGATTTCATTTCGGTGTTTATTAATAGCATATAATTCAGACTTGACATCTTATGAACATCTTGCGCAATACAATGCCACCCGTTGAATTCATTAAAAAAAAACACCCTGATTACATAATTTAATTATTCTAAAATTAACACCTGTCCACTTACGGATTGTCACTTTAAAGTTTAATAACAGTGGAAAGAAACTGCAACTGATGAAATGAAAGGTAACCTTAAGTTATTTCACCCTAGAATAAATCACTAACTGACAGTGGCATCATTGCAAAGAACAAAGACAGAAAATCGGCGGTCTCTTTTTTCATGCGACATTGATATTTCTAGGGAAATTTTTAAGGTCGGTTGCAACGTCGATACATGCCCCCGACTGCCACCCCACAAAAGAGGTGGGAAGTACACTTTTTGAAATACAAGGAGACGCACTAGAAATTCAAAGAAGTTAAAAATAATCGAAAATAATTAACACTGATTTCGTCCTTTTGATATAGATAGTAGTTTAAAACGCAATTATATAATTAATTACTGATTGTAATAGCACAAATAACAATTAAGTGGGTAATTGTTACCTTGCTTGCTTGGCACAAACCTTCGTCACCTTTTGAAACCTTTGTAATTAGCGAAATGTGAAAAAATAATCAAAATGAATCAACTTGAGAAAATTTAGGTTCTCGAAAAGTGGCAATTCGTGGTGCCACTAATTACTACAGAGTTAAAAATTGCATAATATAAATTATTTAACACTTTCGTTTAATTAATACTTAATTATAAAAAAATAAACTAACCGGTTTTCTATCATCAAGCTACCAACGTAGAATATCTATAATATTACTTAATTACACAATAAATAACCATTTTGCCCTTTATACAAAAATCACAAGATCACACCATTAATTACACCTGCGTCGAGGTCGCTTCGCACAAATCCCCCATGACTACCAAAGCTAAACATGTTCGCGATCAGTGAAGAAGCAAAGAAGAGAGTCTACGAAATTTTCAACCGAACCGAAGAAATGGTCAAAGAAGATGCACAAACCGTGAAAGAGTGGATGAAAAGCCAGCCCCATCTCCCCGAGATCTTGAGTAAGTCCACTCTTTTTCCACCTTTTGTAAAACAAAATCTGTAGGTGATACCCAGATCAAAAATTTCCTTAATTTGAACAAGTTCAGTTTAGAAAAAGCCAAACAGAAAATCGACATGTATTACACCATGAGGAGTCTAATGGCAGATTTCTACAGTGTGAGCAATCCAAAACTAGAACGAACTCAACGACTGCTGGACAAAATGTAACATATTATACACAAAATAAGGTCAGGTTTTTGCAGGATGGTGTTCCAGGCACGTTTGCACTTTTCCCGAGGCTCTGGATGGTATTCACAGGGTGATTTTCATTAAAGTGAAGGAAAGTGATGTGCTGGATATGGAAACATTTACAGCGTTGCTGTTTGCTGTGTTTGAAGTACGAATACATGAGGATTTCATGTTTAGTGATATCTTAATCTTGGATATGGAGAATGTTAGTTTGAACGATGTGAGGAAAGTTACGCCTAGTTTGTTGAAGCAGCCGATTATTCTGTACCAGGTAAAATACACAATTGACAAGTTTGAGAACCAATAACTTATTTCACACAGAAAATCTACTCGTTTCGTTTGAAGAAACTATATTTCGTGAATAGTTCCCCGTTTATTTCTTCTTTAATATCTCTTTTGAAAATGATCTTGAAACCGAAACTGTTCGAAAGAGTTGAGATCCACGAAGATGATCAAATTCTGTACGAAGTTTTTACAGATGACCAAAGACCTAAGGAATTTGGAGGGAAGGGACCGTCTTTGCAGGAACTCAGCGGTAATTTTTATTTTTTTGTGTGAAAAAAAGATATATAACTGATTTCTTTGTAGACAACATGAGGAAGAAGTTCTCTGATTATCAAGAAAGGTTCGATCTTTTGGATACGTTGAGGATCGACGAGAGTTTGAGACCGGAGAAACTGGATAATGATGAAATTTTGGGATTTTACGGGCACTTTAGGAAGCTAGATATCGATTAAAGAGACCTTCTAGCAGAATTTAGACGAAATAGAAACAATGTTGCACTTATCGTCGCCAAAAAAGTGACGTAAACTGGGAATTATCTAAGCACAAGTCAAAATAAATTTTTTTCTAAGTTTTACTTTGTTTATTTATATGTTCTTTTTAAACAGTTTTCTACTTGATTTTGATTAGTACCATATGATCAAAAAAGAAGTCCTCAAGTAGTACGCTACTAAATATCAGTTTTTTCGGTTACGTGTAATCGGCTATAAATAAGTTAATTTTAGAACAGTCACCAGACAGGTTATCTCAATATCAACAAATAGGTGACCTTTAACAACAAGAATCTTTGACTGGAGAAGCTGAACGACAATGAAACTTTGGACTTTTGTGTTTATTTCAAGAAACTACAGTTCGTTTAACACAAAGAATGTCCTAAAATTCGAGTTGTAATACTGTGGGCCATCACTTTGAGAGATACACACAAAATATTTGTACATTTTTAAACTAAGTATAATAAAGACTTTGAAGCTGAAGTTGCATTTTAATCATTTCCTTCGGTTACCACTGCAGTTCTCGAGAGAATATAGCCTCACCAATTAAAAGGTAGCAGTTTATAAAAAAAAATGTATAAATAACGCACACATAATTTTTTAAAATACATCTTTAGGTGCATATTGGACGTAATTATATTAACAACATCGTAAAAAAACTGCAACGAACACTTTGTGTATTGGACAGAAAACAATAATTTAATAACACGCGCATTATTTTCTTAATTACCTGTTTAGATGCATACTGGATGTAATTATGACAAGAACACTATAAAACAAACCGTAACGAATGCACTCGGCTTTGAACAGAACGTAAAAATAATATCTATACAGGTACTTTTTTAGGATCTTATTCGACGGGTAAGTGACCAGTGTTATGCTGTGTTGTTTTCATCCCACTGATGAACTCACAGTGAACTGCCGACGCTGATATAAACAGTTTTGTATTGACTTACACTCAAATCGTGTGTTCTTAGTGGCTGCTGAAGAGTTCGTCCCTGAAACATGTTCCAAATAAACGAAGAAGCGAAGAAGAAAATTTACGAAGAGTTTAACCGAAAGGAAGAGATAATCGGTGAAGATGTAGAGACTATCAAGAACTGGTTGAAAACCCAACCCCATCTTCCAGAGGTTATGGGCAAGTGCGTAAAGTTAAATTAAATTGGTAATTAAACATCCAATTGCAGAGGACGCACCAATCAAGAATTTTCTCCACTTGAGTAACTTTAGTGTTGAAAAAACCAAACGCAAGATCGATATGTATTACACCATTAGAAGTCTAATGCCTGAATTTTACATCACCAGCAACCCAAAACTGGAAAAAATGCAACTCATGTTGGATAAGATGTAAGTAGAAAAATTTTGTAACGAAGAAATTGATCAATTTGATCAACCATTTTGTGAGACAACAAGTGTGTGTGATTGCTCCGTCATTTAATCAAACTGCTAGCGTAATACTAACAGACGTCAGACATATTTAGTATCATACTGAAGCTCAGAGTACGCATATTTCTACCTTGAGCACCATTCCTGTGAAAATCCATTTCCCGGTGAGTTATCTCTAATTTTCCTTTTATCAACTATATCTGATAACGAGAGTAACCTGAGCAAACTGTTCTCAACAATGCGATTCCCGAAATAACTGTTCGCAGTGCGATGCCTGCAGTCGATCATTGCATTTTAGTTGTGTAGGAATCACTTCTGAAGATCATGCACGAATCACGCGAAATAAATCCAAATGTATTAAAATTTATTGTAACGACTGTAATGCAGTAGACATAAGATCGCTTTTACTACAGCTCTCTAAGAAAATAGAAACACTCGAAAACAAAATTTCAAACCAAACTAGTTTGACCGAAACTTCCCAACTGGCGATTGAAAAAGTTACTGCTGAGGCAGTTGAACGTATTACGCGTGCCAAAAATATTATAGTCCACGGTGTTGCTGAGTTGAGTGGAAACCCCAAAGAGCAACAGAAGCAAGATGAGAATACGGCGAAAGAACTAACCATAGTACTACCTTGAACAATAATTCCAGTTCGACTTTGAACCGACTTAGAGATATTTATAATTTAATTATTCTAGTTATTAATAATGATAAAAACTTGCACTCATTGTTATCATATGTGATACACCTTAACAGTATATATGTATATCTATACATTCGGAGTTCAACGATTGAGACTGTGAAAAACTGGTTCCTTAATATTATTCCCATGGCCTTGCTGTTAAAAAAATGACTCGTGTATCTTTGCTCGTGTGCAATGCTTGGTGGTGGTAAAACTTGAGGGCATGAGGAATTTTGAGTTTTCAACAATTCTAAAAATTAATAATAATAACAGAGTCACGCGGATAATAAAATACATATATCATCAAATTAAAAAAAATATATATATATATATGTAGGTACTCTGAACTGTATCCCGAAGCAACCATTAGTGATAAACAGAATAGTACGTTCGAGAAGCACTGGTGAAAACCACAACCACAATTTAAATAATAGTAATAATAATAGAATAAATTAGCAGACCAAAGCAAAAACTTGTGTTTTATCTGTTTTACTACCCACCACTGAAGACTTTCAGTCTTAAATATGTTTCCCATAAGCGAAGACTTAAAAAAGAAAGTTTACGAAAGCTTTAACCGAACCGAGGTTATGGTTAATACTGACGCAGAAACAATTAAGAAGTGGATGAAAACTCAGCAACATTTTCCGGAAGAGATGGGTAAGTGCAAGCTCTGTGTTTCTTTGTTTGATTCTTAGTTGCAGATAATTCGCAAATCAAAAATTTTCTCCTTTTGAATAAGTTCAGTATTGAGAAAACTAAACGGAAGATTGACATGTACTATACGATTCGAAGTCTGCTGCCGGATTTCTACGTTACCAGCAACCCCAAGTTGGAAAACATGCAGCAAGCGTTGGATCAAGTGTGAGTAAAAAAATAAATGCGTACCTATATAAAAAAATTGAGGCCAGCATCTGCACTGAGCACTCTCTTTATTCAGTATTTTGATATAAAAAATATACAGAATGATTTTTGTTTTGATCATGTACATGTGCACCTTTCCTTTTCCGTTAAAAGGAATACACAGAGTAATTTTACTAAAAAGCAAAAAACCGAACATGTATTCTCCTGTAGAATACATCATGCTCTACTTTGCCATGTTCGAAGTGCGTCTTTTTGAAGATTTTATGTACAACGACGTTCTAATTATCGATATTGAAAATCTCGGTTTTGAAGACTTAACGAAAACGACTCCAACTGTGCTTAGTAAACAAGTTATGTTGTATAAGGTAAAGACACCGGGTGATACTTAACGTACTGATTGTTTTTTTTCAAACAGAAAGTGTACTCTTTTCGCTTGAAGAATTTGTACTTTGTGAACGCACCCTCCTTCGTGTCTTCTCTGCTTACTGTTATTGAAGCTGTGGTGAAGTCGAAAATTTTCGAACGGAGAAACTATGCCAACATCAACAACGATTTGACAATCTGGACAAACTTAGGGTTAATGAGAGACTCAGACCTGAGAAGCTGAACGACGATGAACTTTTGGGGTTTTATGGTAATTTCAGGAAACTGGACGTAGATTAACATTTTATATCTCACACTTTCTATAAACAGTGGACTTAGTATACAGTATGTCCTGGATTGAGTTCATAAGGGGAGAAAAAACTGTATTTTCTATTTTACAAAAAAATGACATTGGAATAACATTTTTTGCTTAATTCAAAACCAATAAATCTGGAATTAAAATTTTGATATCAGGCTGTGTCCTTAACATAAAAAAAAACTAAAAGTAACGAAGAACTTAGAAATATGAAAAATTAATTTTAAGAGTACAGACCAGGAATATTGAACTTTTAATTGCAGATTTATTCGTTTTGAATTAAGCAAAAAATGTTATTCCTATGTCATTTTTTGTAAAATAGAAAATACAGTTTTTTTTCCTCTTATGAACTCAATCCAGGACATACTGTATATTTTATAAGTATAATTTTTTGTAATTAGTAATAAATAATTTAATTTTCAAGGCTTTTTTTTGTAATAAGAGAATATATTAACATTTAAAAATGATATAAATCATGTTGATTACAAAAACAGGTCAGTCTGCATTTTGCCATGAGAGCAACGTTGGAGCATTTTTATTGGATGTAATAAATTAACTGGGCGTGGTCGGGTACATAATTACATACTTCTACTCATCCTCACTAATAAATAAATACAGAAACGTTAAAACTTCAAGAGTTTTTCTTGAAAATTAATGCAACAATATGTTCCACATAGATGCCGCTGTAAAAAAAACGGTCTACCAGATGTTTGACCGGACTGAAGAAATGGTCAACGAAGATGTACACACTGTGAAAAAGTGGATGGAAACTCAACCCCACCTTCCAGAAATTATGGGTAACTTTTGTAATAACTATGTACTTACTTTGCAAGCTTTTCTTTCAGATGAGACAATGATCAGGAATTTTCTAAATTTAAACAAATTCAGTATTGAAAAAACAAAAGTGAAAATTGATATGTATTACACGATGAGAAGTTTAATCCCTGAACTTTACGCAATTAGCAACCCAAAGTTGGAACGTATGCAACGTGCTTTAGACAATATGTAAATTCGACAAGTGTGTTAAGGTGTGTTCACACTAGAATTATTTTAACGTTGTAGATATGTCTGTACGCACCCTACTCCCCTAGAAGGCACGCACAGAGTCCATTTCATAAAATGGAAAGAATCAAACGCTTTTTTTGCCGAGGAGTATACAATGCTGTTTTTTGATGTATTAGAAGTAAGATTGCATGAGGATTTTATGGTTAACGATGTTGTAATAGTGGATTTTGAAAACGTTTCGTTGACTGACATGAAACAGCTGACGCCGAGCTTGATTTACAAACAAGTGTCTGTGTATCAGGTATCAGCAATTTTTTATATTCAGTTACTTAGTTTCTATTGTTTTTCCTTAGAAAGTGTTTTCACTTCGTTGGAAAAGTGCGTACATTGTGAACAGTCCACCATACATGACGGTACTGATGGCGTTTGTAAAAACGGTCATGAAACCAAAAATGTTTGAAAGGGTAAGTACGTTTTTGTTTTAGTACAAAAATGAAACATTTTGAAAATAGATGCACGTCGTGGCGGATTCGAAAATTTTAAGTGAGGTATTTTCCGAGGAAGAATTACCGAAGGATTATGGAGGTCAAGGTCCATCTTTACAAGAACTCACTGGTACTTTTAAGTACAAAAACAAAATAAAAACTGATGGTGTTCTTTCAGACATGATGCGGCACAAATTTGCTGAGCATCAAGACCGGTTTGATGCTTTAGATAAACTGACTGTTGATGAAAGTCGAAGGCCGAAAAAGTTGAGTAATGATGATGTTTTGGGTTTCCATGGTAATTTCAGAAAACTCGATGTTGATTAAGAATTTTGGAAAACTGTCTAATGATGAAAAATGTTTTTTGGGTTGAGTGGTAAATTAGATAAAAGATTTTGTTTTGTGCTTGGAAAGATTAAAAAAACTTAATTGCTCGTTAGAGTTTGTTTTCCATTTGACAGTTTATCTGTCAGTTCTGATAATATTATTGCTCTAATAAATTAAGAAAAACGTAAATGGAATATTCAACGCGTAAATTATCGTAAGTAATTACACGAGTGCTTTGAAATTATCGGTAATTTCGACCCGAAAGCTGAGATCAAGTGATGACGAGTGTCACTTTGACGTTTCAATTTCCCGACGCGAAGCGGAGGGAAATTGGTCAAAGATGACACGAGTGATCACTTGCTCAGCTTGAGGGTCGCAATTACCTATAATTTCAAAGCACGAGCTATAATTCGGTAAGATTATTTACTGAATAAACCATTACATTTTCTGATGTTATAACCCCAGTCTTTGAAAGTTCTGGCCAATTGTTCTTCGCTGGTGGTTGCTGTCAATTCGTAATTTCTGTCAGTGCAAAACGTCATAAACTGTTTCCAACTTTCCACATTATTTTTGCACTTTACCGTGTTTAACGGTGTCTTCTGTTTAATTGCTTTGTTAATTTCCGCTTCTGAATGATGACCAAAACGATTAATTTTGCGAAATTCAAATTATTGACAGATAATGAAAAAATTATTAATTCGTTTTCAAAGCAACCAACAAAATGACGAGCTACTTGAAAAATTATCGAAAATTACCGCTGTAATTTTTATCCTGTTGCTTTACTATTGGTCGAAATCTACAATGAAGTAAATAATCTTTACGTAAGTTCACATTTGACGTATGCTAAATGTTGATTATAAACTGCTGTTAATTAATTTTTTGTTTGATGTTTACTCAGATTGTTTGTTAGATATATATTCTTAAAATCAAATTAATATCTACATATAATTATTTCTGTTTATATACACTCTGTTTTCGAATTCCATACAGAACATCAAATAAAAAGTGAAAACTACGTAATTTTCAAAATTTTAGGGAATTTTGTCGTGGTTGGTATGACAATAATGTCAATGTAACACTTGAAGTTTAAATTTATGATTATTAACAATGTAGCATCGAGAATTTATTGGCCAACAAATTTATTTCTGCGTACGAAAACATCATTTCGTTATTATGACGTTTATTTATTTCTTAATTGACAATCAGTGACATTTGTAATTACTATCAGTTTTAAAAATATAAGTAAATTGAGGCAATTTTATTACGAAACTCAATTAAGCTACAAGATCACTTAATGTGGGTACTTTAACAGCTCGGTTATAAACACGAAGTAAAGGGCGTTTCAAAATGATTTTCATCTATATATGTGTTATAGTTAGCTTTGAAATCGTTTCAACTCCTATCTTTCCCTTGATGCAAATCTGCAGCCATAGGCGCCTATATGAAAATAATTTTGAAACAATTTGTACTTTGAAAAATATATTGAAAAAGAAAAACAAGTTTCATCAGACGAATTCCAAAATAGAAAATGAGTCGGCAGACGAGTTTTCTATGGGATGGGTACCATAAAATGTATTATGAAACGTGTATTTTATACTTTCTTTTCAACTTCACACCTTTTTTTTTTAATACTTACATAAAAATTGGAATTTAAATTTTTTTTCGGAATTTTGGCGTGGTTGGTACTGCAAATGTGAGATTGTGACATTTGAAGCTTAAATTTTCATAATCATAAATGAATATTATTAATAATGTACATATATCTAATAGTACTATTAGATATATGATAATGTAGTAGCATCCAGAATTTATTGCCGAATAAATTTCATTTCTTCTTTTGACGTTTATTTTATTCGTTATTTGACAGTGACATTTGTAATTACTATCAATATGAAAATGTAAATTATAGCAGTTGTATTATGAAATTCGATTAAGCTCTGGGTGACTATTATTAGTGGTTGAAGCACTTGAAGCGAATTTTTGTGTTGGCAGTTCTGAATTATTGGTACCAATGCTAGTATGTCAGTTCACAGTTGTCAATTTTGACATGAGTGGGTCTAAACGAACGTTTGTTGAAACGATGGCACCTACTGATTTGGTGTTATAAATCTCAATTTGACAATTAGATATGCGATCACAAAATTTTAATTATGTCGCCAACCTGACAAAAAAGTCATAAACATTAAGTTTCTAAGTATTATCACAAAATAAATTATTACAAACAACATGTGAAGCTAAAGACAATCTTACGGTCCTCGAAATACAAGGAATTGCTCAAAGTAGGATTTATTGCCTCATAAATCTCGTCCTGCAGAACAGGTTTCACTCTTTTGATGTTTATTTTATTTTTAATTTGACAATGACATTGTAATTACTACCAATCTTGAAAATATAAATTACACCAGTTCTTTTACTAAACTTAACAAAGCTATTATTAGAGTATCAATCTGGGTTCTTAAAAAGCTCGGTTAGAAACGCGAAGTGGAACAAATAATTTATTTAATTATAGTATATTAAAGAACGAGTTTCATAAGGCAAATATTGAGGCACGAATCCAAGTTTATAGAACGAGCGGCGAAGCCGCGAGTTATATAAAGGATGAGTGCCTCAATGGCCTTATGAACGAGTTATTTATACTATTTTTTCTACCGCACACGTTTTTTCCCAAAATTTAATTGAAATTTGCATTTTTTTTAATCTGGGGACTTTTGTCGTGGTTGGTGATGGGTCGGTCTGACACTAACCACGAAATATTTGAGGTTCGAATTTTCACAACAACAATTGTAATTCGAACCAATTCGAGTTTTTGTAATTTAAAATTGGTTAAAATGTCTTGCGAAGAAGTTACGCGTCCGGAAACATGAGAAATTTTAAGTTTAGATTTGCCACTGACATTCACCTGACATTTCTCGTCATTGCTACCAATCTTACCGATCTAAATTACACCAGATCTATTAAAGAACGCCTTTCCGCTATTAACGAACTGCTGTGACGTCATTTGCGTGCGTTAATAGCTCTATTAGAAAACCAAAAAACGTGGGCGGTAGAAAAAATTTCTTAAAAAAAGCCCATCTTAGTAGTCAACAGCAAAGCTGAATATCTACTTTTACGTATAAATTAAGAATTATTTATCTAAACCCAGCTAAGCGACACTGCGGAACGTGTGTTGAATTCGGTAAAACATTAATCTCACACCTGTGCAAAATGTACAAAGTGAACGAAGATGTAAAAAAGCGGGTGTATGAAGCGTTTGGACGAAACGAAGAAATGGTGGAAGATGACGTCAACATTATCAAAAGTTGGATGCAAACGCAACCGCACCTCCCAGAGACAATGGGTAAGAAAGTGTTTCTTTAGCTCTTAGCGCCAGATATTTTGCTTCAGAGGACGTCAAAATTCGGAATTTTCTCAATCTAAATAAGTTCAGTATTGAAAAAACGAAAGAAAAGATTGATATGTATTATACTATCAGAAGCGTGATTCCTGATGTATTCGAAGTAAATAATCTGAAATGCGAGAAGCTGGAAAATTTGTTTAAGGATACGTAAGTAATTTTTTGGAGAAATTTTAAAATATTTTACCCCTTTAAAGGTATTTTTTTACATTTCCAAAGGCGGTAAACGGAGCTCATTGTGTATATTTCGTAAAACCGAAAACACCAGACACTGTTAATCTTCTAGAAGTGATAAATGTATGGTTTGCCATTTTCGAAATTCGACTCTCCGAGGATTTTATGGTTGACGACATTGTCATAGTTGATTTTGAAAATTTCAGTCTCTCAGATATCAAACAATGTACTCCTACGATTGTCAGCAAATTCTTTGCTGTTTATAAGGTAAATCAAAAATAAACAACTATCTTTTTTAAAGCTTCGCCTGTAGAAAGTCTACGCCCTCCGACTAAAAAAACTTATTTACGTAAATTGCCCGTCTTTTACCTCCGTCTTGGTATCGGTTTTAAAAGCTGTAATGAAACCCAAAATTTTTACTCGACTAGAATTGCATGAAGATGCTGCCGTATTGAAGGACTTTTTCCCCCAAGACGAACTCCCACGGGACTATGGAGGCGAAGGACCTTCTTTGGACCAACTGAATGGTATTTTACTTATCCAAAAACACAAAATGTTACTTCTGAATTTCAGGTAATATGAAAAAGAAACTTTTCGAATACGAAAATCGGTTGCAGCACGTGTATAAATTGAGGGTTAACGAAACACTTCGCCCCCAAAAACTAAACAACGACGAAATTTTGGGATTCTATGGCAGCTTCAAGAAAATAAATGTCGACTAAACACACAACAATAGAAATGTTTATGTATAGTTTTTACAACAATAAATTTCCACAAAAATGCGGTTTATGTAAATTAATGTTCACTTTTAATTTAAAAACCTAGCAATTTAAAAATTTCCAGTTTTATTTTTTTTACATAAAAACCTTGAGCTCAATCAGCTCGTTTGCAGAAAAATTATGTCAATGTGTGTGGTGGAATCCGCCGATTGCGATTCACTCACTCAAGAACCTGAAAACGGGTTTGCAACTCGCATAAAATTAATGCAGAAACTCAAGTCCTCTGAACCGTTAAGTTCTTACGAACGCGGGTTGTATTAAAAATGTATCAAATTAGTGAAGATGTTAAAAAGAAAGTGTACGAAACGTTTGAACGAAACGAACAAATGGTGGAAGATGATGTCCACATCATCAAAACGTGGATGAAAACTCAGGCACACCTTCCAGAAATAATGGGTAAGGCATTGTATTTTGTTTTTTGATTTAAGTGCTAATTGTTGATTCAGGGGACGCCCATATTAGAAATTTTCTTAACTTGAATAAGTACAGCATTGAAAAAACGAAGGGAAAAATTGATATGTATTACACCATCAGGAGCGTCATTCCTGAGTTATTCGAACTTAGCAATCCTAAACTGGACAACGTGAAGAACGTGTTCAATACTTCGTGAGTACTCAGTCTATGTAAAACGTAGAGATTGTTACTTCCCGAGCTGAAGCAAAGGAAGTATTGTAATCGAGTCCGTCGGCCGACTCTCTACTTTTACGTTTTCTCGATCTTTCATGACCCCTAGAAGACGAAGAAATAGGTCTCCCATTTCCGTCTGTCTGTCCGTCCGTCTGTCCGTCTGTCCGTCTGTTGTCCCGGATTTTATTAGACAGATAATCTCCGAAAGTACTCGACCGATTGTTGTGAAATTTTGTACTTATATTAAGAATATCATGTACATGGTAAAACGCTAGCCAAAATTTGTCTAATCATCCCCACCACTAATGCGATGACGTCACTTCAAAATTGTACATAGTAAATGGATTTTCAATTGTATAAAATAACATAGTCCTACACATGTAGTTTACAACTCTGAATGACTTTTCACCCGAAACGTCCAGATTTTTGGAAAAAAAATCAAAATTATAAAACAACATTTTGAAATTTAATTTTTAATCTGCTAACCAGAATGCTTTGAAATGTTGCAGATGTTTTAAGGCTATAAAGAGCATCATAAATCTTTAGTCAAAAAATATTTGCTTATCCCCTCCAAAAACTTGATGACGTCAGCTCAAAAGTTTGTGGAATAAATCATATCTAAAATGTACAAAATATGATGAGTCTGTACTTGTGATCTATCACTCCATTCATATTTTTTGGATTTGCATATACAGAGTGACTCAAAAAAATTAATGAATGCGTAAATATATTTTATTGATTTAATCAGGAACTACAAAACCGAATGCTCTGAAATCTTGCAGATGTTTTAAGGTCATAAAGAGCATAATAAATGTTTAGTCAAAATATATTTGCTTATCCCCTCCAAAAACTTGATGACGTCAGCTCAAAAGTTTGTGGAATAAATCATATCTAAAATGTACAAAATATGATGAGCCTGTACTTGTGATCTATCACTCCATTCATATTTTTTGGACTTGCATATACAGGGTGACTCAAAAAAATTAATGAATGCGTAAATATATTTTATTGATTTAATCAGGAACTACAAAACCGAATGCTCTGAAATCTTGCAGATGTTTTAAGGTCATAAAGAGCATAATAAATGTTTAGTCAAAATATATTTGCTTATCCCCTCCAAAAACTTGATGACGTCAGCTCGAAAGTTTGCCGAATAAATCATATCTAAAATGTACAAAATATGATGAGCCTGTACTTGTCATTTATCACTCCATTCATATTTTTTGGATTTGCATATACAGAGTGACTCAAAAAAATTAATGAATGCGTAAATATATTTTATTGATTTAATCAGGAACTACAAAACGGAATGCTCTGACATCTTGGTGAGTCTCTTCTTGTGATTTATCATTCCATTCAAATTTTTTCGATTTGCATATACAGGGTGACTCAAAAAAATTAATGAATGCGTAAATTTATTTTATTGATTTAATCAGGAACTACAAAACCGAATGCTTTGAAATCTTGCAGATGTTTTAAGGTTATAAAGAGCATAATAAATTTTTAGTCAAAATATATTTGGTTATCTTCTACAAAAAACTGATGACGTCAGCTCAAAAGTTTGCCGAATAAATCGTATCTAAAATGTACAAAATATGATGAGTCTGTACTTGTGATTTATCATTCCATTCATATTTTTGGTTTTGCATATGCAGGGTGACTCAAAAAAATTAATGAAGGCGTGAATTTATTTTATCGATTTAATCAGGAATTACAAAACCGAATGCTTTGAAATCTTGGGAATATTTTAAAGTTATTATAAGCATGGTAAACTTTTGTTCAAAATGTATTTGTTCATCCCTCCTAAAAAAATTGATGATGTCACCCTTAAATTTTGCTGAATAAATCCCATCTAAAATGCTAAAAATATGATGAGTTTGTACTTGTGATTTATCATTCCATTCATATTTTTTAGATTTTCTTAAGAGGTGGTTCAAAAAAATTAATGAAGTCAATTTATTTTATTGATTAAATTAAAGGCAACACTTATTATTAGTATTACACCCCAACCAACCCAATTTGGTAGACACAAAATTTGTTAAAGGAAAAGCTCGGTTGAAACATAAGGGTAGCACGCCTATTTACATCGACTTTAACATTACAGACCTGCATTTGTTCACTTGGTTCCGCGAATGTGAAATAGACATGTTTATAATCAACCAATTCTGAATTTCACCATCAAGAATTAAAATAAAACCCAATGTTTTATATAATAAGCGGAAGTCGAAGCAATAAAACCGATGGTCGTTTTGTTTACAGTTTCTTTGTTTGACTCTCACGTATGCTGTTACGCTTGTCATCTTAAATTAAGAATGTTTATACATAAACGATTTTCAGTTGCCGTATACGTGAGTAAATTGTTTCGTTATTTTATTGATTATAAAAAATCAATATTCAAAACGACCCAATTCATTTTCCCGAAAATTTGGGAATACAATAATTTTATTCTTAGTATTACACTACATCTATCCCAACTGATATACGTGTCCTTGCAAAAATGTTGATGACGTCATCGCAATTTTAAATTCCCACTACAAAAATGTAATGAGAAAAAAACACAATAGCCATGCAGTCGTCAAGTTTCCGACAGCGAGGGAAGTACTGTCTAAACTCTTTAGACCAATTTTTTTTTTATTTTTAGATATATGTTCACTTTTCCGAAACCTCTGAATGATGTCCACAGAGTGTATTTTTCAAAGCAAAAATTACCCAACTCGTTGAACTCCACAGAGCTATCTAATGTTTGGTTGGCAATTTTTGAAGTTCGATTACATGAAGATTTCATGGTTGACGATTACATCATAGTCGATTTAGAACATTACAGTCTAAGTGACATTAAAAGGGTCACTCCCATGATAGTAACAAAGTTTTTAGCAGTTTATAAGGTAAAAATCTGCGTAATTCAATAAATTCTTTTACAACCTGTTTGTAGAAAGTGTATGCCCTTCGATTAAAAAAAATCGTTTTTGTGAATTGTCCGCCGTATATTTCCATTTTGATTGCGATTTTAAAAGCCGTCATGAAACCTAAGATTTTTGAGAGAGTTGAGTTTCATCAAGACACTGGAGCACTGAAAAATTTTATTCCTGAAGAGGACTTTCCGAGTGATTATGGGGGCAAAGGACCCTCCTTGGAAGACTACAATGGTATTATTTTCCACAAAAGTTGCAAAATCTACACCAAAATTTCAGGTATGATGCTGAAGAAGCTTTCGGAGTACCAAAATCGGTTCGATGAATTGGACAAACTGAGGGTTAATGAAAGTCTTCGACCTGAAAAACTGGACAACGACGAAATTTTGGGGTTCTATGGGAGTTTTAAAAAAATAAATCTCGATTAAATGTGTCGATGGTTTTTCTTTGTGAATAAGTTAGGGAAAACAGAGAGTAAGGATGTGAAAAAATGTGGTATTAAATAAAGCGTTTGCTTCTTCTAGAGAGTTGTTTTATTGAGTTTGTTTTTTCGTTCGAAATATTACGAATTAATACCTTTATTCCCAAGTCAATTTCAACGACAATTTTCGTTACTGAAAAAAGTGAACTGGGCCACTAGAACACGCAGTTTTAGTCTACTTTCACAAATATTGAGATGACGTTATCAAGTCGTCGAAGGGTATAAACAAAAAATATTGATTAATCGACACACCGTGTTCACGAATTTTAAAAGGTCTACAAGGTTTCAGAACAACTGGTTTTATAATTTAAGTGTGACAAGTTTGTCGCTTTACAATTATGATTTTTGTATTGTGCTTTAGGATAAATTGAAACCTTGGCTTCCCAAGATAAACAACACCGCTTTCCGGGCATTGACTTACCCACATAAAAACAACTTCCACACACTTAACGCGTTTATAGCTGAAATCGTAGTTTGCGGAACGTTCGCAGCCTTGATGAACGCATAAAATGTACGTCGTGAACGACGATGTTAAAAAAAACGTGTATGAAACGTTCGGTCGTAAAATACAGATGGTGGAAGATGATGTCAACATCATCAAAACGTGGATGAAGGGTCAACTACATCTCCCGGAGATGATGGGTAAATCGACCTTTATTTTTTTCGAGTGATAACTTTGGTTTCAGAGGATGCCAGAATTAGGAATTTTCTTAACTTGAATAAGTTCAGTATCGAAAAAACAAAGGTAAAAATTGACATGTACTATACTATTAGAGGCGTGATTCCTGAATTATTCGAACTCAGCAATCCGAAACTGGAAAACATGAAAAATGTGTTTAATTTGACGTGAGTAGTTAAATAATTTTGTGAAAAATGTGGAAGTTAATGTTGTTTTGAAGATATTTATTCACTTTTCCGAAAATGTTGAATGATGTGCATCGAGTTTATTTCGCGAAGCAGAAAAAACCCAATACTTTGAAGGCTGTGGAGACGTCTAACGTTTTATTATCAATTTTTGAGATCCGGTTGTATGAAGATTTTATGGTCGACGATTATATTATACTTGATTTAGAGAATCACTCTCTTGGTGACATCAAAAGGATTACTCCTACGTTTGTAACGAAATTTTTAGCGATCTATAAAGTATGACCGAAATCACGAAATTATTCTTCTTTTAAAACCTGTTTTCAGAAAGTGTACGCCCTTCGGATAAAAAAAGTCATCTTCATGAATTGTCCATCTTACGTTTCTGTTTTGATTGCGATGCTGAAGCCCCTCGTGAAAGCCAAAATTTTTGACAGAATAGAGTTTCATGACGACAGTGAGGTTTTAAAGAAAATTATTTGCAAAAAAGATCTTCCGAAGGACTACGGTGGCGAAGGACCTTCTTTGGAAGAATACAATGGTATTAATTTTTACAATCATTATAAAATATCTAGACCAAAGTTTCAGCTATGATGCAAACAAAGCTTTGTCAACACCAAAACCGGTTCGACCAGTTGGATAAATTGAGGGTTAATGAAAATCTTCGACCCGCAAAACTGAATAACGATGAAATTTTGGGATTCTATGGAAGTTTTAAAAAAATAAATTTTGACTAAGTACTGTGTGAATTTATTTTTTTATTTTGATGTTTTTCAAAGTTCAGCGGCTTTGAAAATTTTTCTAGATCGTTGGCGTACTATTACGTTTATTTCTACATTATATTGCATCATCACTGTCTTCGTCAAATCCAAAACAAGTTTGAATCAAGGTTACTTTAACCCAGAAACCCCAGTCTCTTAAAAGTGCAAGTTCTTGGCGAATCGTGTGTCAAGATGTACTCAGTCAGTGAAGATGCCAAAAAAAAAGTGTACGAAACGTTCGGTCGCAACGAAGAAATGGTTGAAGATGATGTACATATAATCAAAACGTGGATAAAAACTCAACCACACCTTCCAGAATTAATGGGTAAAGTGAGTTCCAGATATTCCCAGTTAAAACACTTTGCTTTCAGAGGACGTCAAAATTAAGAATTTCCTGAATTTGAGTAAGTTCAGCATCGAAAAAACGAAAGAAAAAATTGACATGTACTACACTATTAGAAGCGTCATTCCTGAACTGTTCGAGTCCAGTAATCCAAAACTAGAAGTTACAAAAAACTTGTTTAATGGCGCGTGAGTAGACATTGTTACTAAAAATGAAAAAATAAAATGATGTTTTAGGTATTTATTCACGTTTCCAAAACAAGTGAATGGTGTCCATCGAGTTCATTTTTCAAAACAGAAAAAAATGAATGCTTTGAACCCTTTCGCATTCTACAACGTGTGGTTGTCAATTTTTGAGATCCGACTAAAAGAAGATTTCATGGTTGACGATTACCTTGTTACAGATTTAGATAATTATTCTCTTGCCGATATGAAACAAATTAATCCTATGGTAATGTCAAAATTTGTAGCCATTTACAAGGTACACCTTACCATAACTAAGTTACCCTTTTCTTAACAGCTATTTACAGAAGGTATATGCTCTTCGATTAAAAAAAGTCCTTCTATTAAATTGTCCGTCTTATGTTTCCATTTTGAGCGCTATTTTGAAAGTTGTAGTGAAACCAAAAATTTTTGACAGAATCGAGTTTCATCAAGACGCTGAGGTTCTAAAGGAAATTATTTGTAAAGAAGAACTTCCTAAGGAGTATGGAGGTGAAGGACCTTCTCTGGATCAATACAATGGTATGAATTTTTACAAAAATCACAAAATCTACTCTAAAATTTCAGTTATGATGCAAACGAAGCTTTCTGAATACCAAGACCGATTCGACCAGTTGGATAAATTGAAAGTTAACGAAAATCTTCGACCTCAAAAACTGGACAACGATGAAATTTTGGGATTCTATGGAAGCTTTAAAAAAATAAATATCGACTAAATATGTGAATCTGGTTTTTTAAGGTTATAATGAAAGTCAAAGGACGAAGATGGTCGAAGGTTGTAGCCAAGGAGGTTTAGATGTATAGAGAGAGTACTGGGCTCGTTGTTTTGTGTCGCACATATACAAACCCTTTCTGCTGTTCGTGTGGTGTTCGTACACATTCGTGAATTGACGGATAAGCAATTGAACGAGTCAGTGGCGGAACTAGATTTTACTGCTGTCTATTAGTTTTAACACATTTGTCATTGTTCTAGGTTTTAGTGGATATTTGCAAAGACCAGATACGCGAACGTGTGGAAAGTGTATTAACCGCACATTTAGTTTAAAAACCAATATTTTTTGTTTTTCTTGAAATTGTATGAAATTGAAACTCGTCAGCCACTGTACTGCAGTACAGTGAACCTCTCGCGCCTCACTCCTCTCACCCGGGACATGTTGGCCACACTTTGATATATGGAAGGTATAGGGCATACTCTCTCTATACATTTAAACCTCCTTGGTTGTAGCATTAAATTAGATCAGGGTATTAATTATGTTTGTTTTTATTGTAATAGTTCATATCGAAGTAATAAATAACAACCCTAGGTTATATAAATAATAGTTAATGCTTTTGATTATAATATTTTTTCAGCAGTAGACATTCATAAATAATGTTTCCATTTTTTTTTTCAATAACAAAATTGTAATAATATGCATTAAAATAGAAGTTGAAGATCATCTAAATTATTCTGTGTATAAAATTCTGCAAACTTGTTGTTGGAAAAAAAAATTAACCATAGGTATGTGGTTGGAAAACAATTTCAAATTTCAACAGAACCTAAAATGAGAAATTTTTACTGCCTAAATTTTTTGAGGATAATTTTTGCTTTTCAAGGCCTTTAAAAATTAAGCCATCCAAGATCAGAAACAAATCTAGAGTTTTTTAAGGTGCTTCCACATCGCTGACTTGCTATATTAAAATCCAAATGGAAAACAGGTTTGAATCAACATAAATTTAACACAGAAACCGCAGTCTCTCGAAAGTGCGAGTCCTAGACGCATCGAGTGTCAACATGTACTCAGTCAGTGAAGATGTCAAAAAAAATGTGTACAAAACGTTTGGACGTAACGAACAAATGATTGAAGATGACGTACTCATAATCAAAACGTGGATGAAAACTCAACCACACCTCCCAGAATTAATGGGTAAAGTGGTTTTAATTTTTTCTTAGAGTGAAAACTGTGCTTTTAGAGGACGTCAAAATTAAGAATTTCCTGAATTTAAATAAATTTAGCATCGAAAAAACTAAGCAAAAAATTGACATGTACTATACTATCAGGAGCATCACTCCTGAATTGTTTGAGGTCAGTAATCCAAAACTGGAAGTTACGAAGAACTTGTTTAATAATTCGTGAGTAGGCATTTTGACTAAAAATGAAAAATGAAAAGGTGGTATTTTTAAGATACTTGTTCACATTTCCAAAACAACTGAATGGTGTCCACCGAGTTTATTTTTCAAAACAGAAAAAAATGAATACTTTGAATCCTTTGGAATTCTATAACGTGTGGTTCTCGATTTTTGAGATTCGACTGCAGGAAGATTTCATGGTCGACGATTACATTATTGCAGATTTAGACAGTTATTCTCTTAGTGATATGAAAAATATTAATCCTATGATACTGTCAAAATTTTTTGGTGTTTACAAGGTACAAAATAACGTAATTAAATCACCTCTTTCTTTATACCTATTTACAGAAGGTTTATGCTCTTCGATTAAAAAAAATCATTCTATTTAATTGTCCGTCTTATGTTTCCATTTTGACCGCCATTTTGAAAGCTGTAATGAAACCTAAACTTTTTGAAAGGATCGAATTTCATCCAGACGCTGAAGTTTTGAAGAAAATTATTTGTAAAGAAGAACTTCCCAAGGAGTATGGAGGTGAAGGACTTTCTTTGGATGAATACAATGGTATGAACTTTGACAAAAATTATAAATTCTAAGCTAAAATTTCAGCTATGATGCAAACGAAGCTTTCTCAGTACCAAGGCCGATTCGACCAGTTGGATAAATTGAGAGTTAACGAAAATCTGCGACCTCAAAAACTGGACAACGATGAAATTATGGGATTTTATGGAAGTTTTAAACAAATAAATATCGATTAAGTATGTGATTTTCTGTTTTTTGAGATGATAATGGAAGTCAAAGAGCGAAGATGCTCGACGTTGTATTGTTAAATCAGGTCAGGGTTTTATTTAAAGATTTGCTTTTGTTGTCATACTTCATATTGCTAGGTTAGATAAATAATAATAATTAATGCTCTTGATTATATTTTTTAATTATTGTTCAATAATAAACATGCTCATAAATCACGTTTCATAATTTAAGACAAATCTTGAGTTGGGGCGGTTTTCAAAGTTCCTTCACACCACTGACTCGTTATATTAAAATCTAAATGGAAAACAGATTTGAATCAACATAAATTTAACCCAGAAAGCTCAGTTCCTCGAAAGTGCGAGTCCTAGAAGCATCGTGTGTCAACATGTACTCAGTCAGTGAAGATGTCAAAAAAAATGTGTACGAAACGTTCGAACGCAATGAACAAATGGTTGAAGATGACGTGCACATAATCAAAACGTGGATGAAAACTCAACCACACCTTCCAGAATTAATGGGTAAACAGATTTTTAGATTTTCCTAGTAAAAACTTTGCTTTCAGAGGACGTCAAAAATAAGAATTTTTTGAATTTGAATAAGTTCAGTATTGAAAAAACAAAAGAAAAAATTGACATGTACTATACTATCAGGAGCGTTATTCCTGAATTGTTTGAACTGTGTAATCCGAAACTGAAAATTACAGACAACTTGTTTAATAATACGTGAGTAGCCATTTTCGTTAAAAATGAAAAAACAAAGTTATGTTTTAAAGATATTTATTCACGTTTTTAAAACAACTGAATGGTGCCCACCGTGTTTATTTCTCGAAACAGAAAAAAGAGAATAGTGTGAATCTTTTGGAAATGTATAACGTTTGGTTCTCGATTTTTGAGATTCGACTACAAGAGGATTTTATGGTTAACGATTACATTATTGTAGATTTGGACAATTATTCGCTTGGTGATATGAAACGGATGAATCCTGCAGTAGTATCAAAATTTCTAGCTATTTACAAGGTATAATTTGACAGAATTAAAACTCTTTTATTAAAACCCACTTACAGAAGGTTTACGCTCTTCGATTAGAAAAAATCGTTTTACTAAATTGCCCGTCTTATGTTTCTATTTTGAGTGCGCTTATGAAAGCCGTAATGAAACCCAAACTTCTTGAAAGAATCGAGTTTCATAAGGACGCTGAAGTTTTTAAGAAAATCATTTGTAAAGAAGAACTTCCTAAGGAGAATGGAGGGGAAGGACCCTCTCTGGAGGAATACAATGGTAGGAATTTTTACAAAAAATGCAAAATCTACGCTGATGCTTCAGCTATGATGCAAACAAAGCTTTCTCAGTACCAAGACCGATTCGACCAGTTGGATAAATTGAGGGTTAACGAAAATCTTCGACCTCAAAAACTGGACAACGATGAAATTTTGGGCTTCTTTTAAAAAAATAAATATCGACTAAATCTATTAGTTTCGCTTTTTTATTATAACCATAGTCAAAAAACGAACATGTCATAATGTTGTAGAATTAAATTGGGTCAGGTTAATTACGAATGTAATACTTTATATAGAAAAAATAAATAACAACGCTATATTAAATAAATGATTAATGCTTTTGATTATCTTTTTTGTAATATCGTTTCAATAGTAAAAGTATTTAGAAATCATGCTTCATACTTTTTTTCTCTACAATGACTCTAAAATTTGTGGTATTCTGTTAAAACGGAAATTTTAAACACTTTGCATTTATTTACAGTTATTTTGGAATTATCTTTTTTATCTCCCACATTTTCGCAAAATTGCCACTTTGCATCGAACCCAGGCATTCAAAAAATATAAAAATAAATTCATTGAAAAAATGATCATGCCAGTAAGCATTATGCAAATTTGGTCTTTTTCAATAAATATCTCTTGATACGGAGAAAGCGCGCATTTATACAGTGGATACATCCATAAATTTCTCTGATGTTGCATTCTCGAGACAAAAACAGACCTTGACTTGACTCACTTATATTATTAAAACCGAAATGCAAACGAGTTTGAGTGCAGATAAACTTAATGCAACGACTGCATTCTCTAGCACTCAGGTTGGATTAACGTAATTTGCATGAAATTAGTGCAGATGGAACCCAGAGTGTCTGAAACATTTGATGCTGTAGAAAATAACAAATTTTTTGAACAACCAGTTTCGTAAAACAACCGAATTTTTTATTATTATTGTTTTGGTTTGATGTATATTTATCATTAAATTAAATGACAAGGGGAACACTAATTAACACAAACATTTGTCTAGACGAATGAATTATTGAAGATTCTGTGGTTTTAATAAAACTGCTGCATAGATTTTGGTGCTAATAAAAATAAAATTATTATGATTTGTTGGTTCAATCTCGACCTGACACTAATAAAACCCGATGCAAAACAAGCCAAAGCCCGAGTTTTTGACGAACCCTCATCGCAAACAGACATGTATCAAGTCACTGAAGATGTCAAAAAGAAAATGTACGAAACGTTCGGACGCAACGAAGAAATGGTCAAAGACGACGCACCTTCCGGAAATAATTAGGGAGTATTTTCCCAAAATAATACAAAATTGTTGTTGTCGATGACGTCAAAATTAAACATTTTTTGAATCTGAATAAGTTCAGTAATGAGAAAACGAAGCAAAGATCTTACACTATCAGAAGTGTGATTCCTGAAATGTTTGAACTGGGCAATCCAAGAATGGAATATGTGAAAAACACATTTAATACAACGTATTTGTTTACTTTCCAAATTTAATAAACAACATCAACCGAGTTTATCTCTTAAAGCTGAAACAACCCAATACCTTGAACCAAATAGTTTTTACCAACGTTTGGCTAGGCATTTTTGAAATTCGGCTACATGAAGATTTCATGGTTGACGATTATATTATTATCGATTTAGAACATTGTACCCTAGTTGACATCAAAAAGATTACCCCGTATTGTGGTCTCAAGATGGTTAGCTGTATACAAGGTGAGCCCACAACGAATACATATTTCTTCTTTTTAAACTATGTAATTGTTTTTAAAGAAAGTCTATGCCCTTCGTCTGAAAAAAATCCTCTATATAAATTCCCCACCTTATGTTTCTCTCTTGGGTGCAATTCTCAAATCAGTGATGCAGCCCAAAATTTTGTTTAGTTAAGTTTCGAAAATGTCAACATTTTTCCGAAATTTGAAGGGGGGAGACCAAATTTCAATTTCAAAGAAGTTGTCTATAAATTATGAAAAAATTCAGGAACGTAGATCTCGACACGCTGATTCCAAAAATACTACATGTTGATGGTCACGAAGAAATCGCTGCAAAATGCGATTTTTTTAAAATTTTAATTTCTGAAAAAACGGTTGCAGCTATCAAAGAATCGAGGCCGGAAGTGAGTTCTAGAGCTCGAAATCTACAAGAAAATGTACTCAGTTAGATTTCGAAAATGTCAAAATTTCGGCGAAATTTGAAGAAGGGGGGAACATTGGAAAATTTTCACTTTTAAAAAAGTCGTTTAAAAATTCAAAAAAAATTCAGGGACGTAGATCTCGACGTGCTGATTCCAAAAATATGGCCTGTTGATGGTCGCGGAGCGACATTTTAAAAAAAATCGGTACGAAATGCTTAATTTATCGAATTTTCAAAATTTTCGATATTTCAACGGTCGATTCTGGAAAAACTGTTGCAGCTATCAAAGAATCGAGGCCGGAAGTGAGTACTAGAGCTAGAAATCTACAAGAAAATGTGGTCAGTTAGGTTTCGAAAATGTCAAAATTTGGCCGAAATTTGAAGAAGGGGGGACCATTGGAAAATTTTCACTTTTAAAAAAGTCGTCTAAAAATTCTGAAAAAATTCAGGGACGTAGATCTCGACGTGCTGATTCCAAAAATATAGGCTGTTGATGGTCGCTGAGCGACATTTTCGAAAAAATCGGCACGAAATGCCTAATTTATAGAAATTTCAAAAATTTCGATATTTCAACAGTCGATTCTGGAAAAACTGGTGCAGCTATCAAAAAATCGAGGCCGGAACCGAGTTCTAGGGCTCGAAATCTACAAGAAAATGTACTCAGTTAGGTTTCGAAAATGTCAAAATTTCGACGAAATTTGAAGAATTGAAATTGGAAAATTTTCAGTTTTGAAAAAGTCGTCTAAAAATTCTGAAAAAATTCAGGGACGTAGATCTCGACGTGCTGATTCCAAAAATATAGCCTGTTGATGTTCGCGGAGGGAGATTTTCGAATAAATCGGTACGAAATGCCTAATTTATCGAATTTTCAAAAATTTCGATATTACAAACGTCGATTCTGGAAAAACGGTTGCAGCTATCAAAGAATCGACGCCGGAAGTGAGTTCTAGAGCTCGAAATCTACAAGAAAATGTACTCAGTTAGGTTTCGAAAATGTCAAAATTTCGGCGAAATTTGAAGAAGCGGGGACCATTGGAAAATTTTCACTTTTAAAAAAGTCTTTTAAAAATTCTGAAAAAATTCAGGGACGTAGATCTCGACGTGCTGATTCCAAAAATATAGCCTGTTGATGGTCGCAGAGGGAGATTTTCGAATAAATCGGTACGAAATGCCTAATTTATCGAATTTTCAAAAATTTCGATATTACAAACGTCGATTCTGGAAAAACGGTTGCAGCTATCAAAAAATCGAGGCCGGAAGTGAGTTCTAGAGCTCGAAATCTACAAGAAAATGTACTCAGTTAGGTTTCGTAAATGTCAAAATTTCGGCGAAATTTGAAGAAGGGGGGACCATTGGAAAATTTTCACTTTTAAAAAAGTCGTTTAAAAATTCTGAAAAAATTCAGGGACGTAGATCTCGACGTGCTGATTCCAAAAATATTGCCTGTTGATGGTCGCGGAGCGACATTTTCGAAAAAATCGGTACGAAATGCCTAATTTATAGAAATTTCAAAAATTTCGATATTTCAACCGTCGATTCTGGAAAAACGGTTGGTGCTATCAAAGAATCGAGGCCGGAAGTGAGCTCTAGAGCTCGAAATCTACAAGAAAATGTACTCAGTTAGGTTTCGAAAATGTCAAAATTTCGGCGAAATTTGAAGAAGGGGGGACCATTGGAAAATTTTCACTTTTGAAAAAGTCGTTTAAAAATTCTGAAAAAATTCAGGGACGTAGATCTCGACGCGCTGATTCCAAATATATAGGCTGTTGATGGTCGCGGAGCGACATTTTCCAAAAAATCGGTACGAAATGCCTAATTTATCGAATTTTCAAAAATTTCGATATTTCAACCGTCGATTCTGGAAAAACGGTTGCAGCTATCAAAGAATCGAGGCCGGAAGTGAGTTCTAGAGCTCGAAATCTACAATAAAATGTACTCAGTTAGGTTTCGAAAATGTAAAATTCGGTGGAAATTTGAAGAAGGGGGGACCATTGGAAAATTTTCACTTTTGAAAAAGTCGTTTAAAAATTCTGAAAAAATTCAGGGACGTAGATCTCGACGTGCTGATTCCAAAAATATAGGCTGTTGATGGTTGCGGAGCGACATTTTCGAAAAAATCGGTACGAAATGCCTAATTTATCGAATTTTCAAAAATTTCGATATTTCAACCGTCGATTCTGGAAAAACGGTTGCAGCTATCAAAGAATCGAGGCCGGAAGTGAGTTCTAGAGCTCGAAATCTACAAGAAAATGTACTCAGTTAGGTTTCGAAAATGTCAAAATTTCGGCGAAATTTGAAGAAGGGGGGACCATTGGAAAATTTTCACTTTTGAAAAAGTCGTTTAAAAATTCTGAAAAAATTCAGGGACGTAGATCTCGACGTGCTGATTCCAAAAATATAGGCTGTTGATGGTCGCGGAGCCACATTTTCGAAAAAATCAGTACGAAATGCCTAATTTATCGAATTTTCAAAAATTTCGATATTTCAACCGTCGATTCTGGAAAAACGGTTGCAGCTATCAAAGAATCGAAGCCGGAAGTGAGTTCTAGAGCTCGAAATCTACAAGAAAATGTACTCAGTTAGGTTTCGAAAATGTCAAAATTTGGCCGAAATTTGAAGAAGGCGGGACCATTGGAAAATTTTCACTTTAGAAAAAGTCGTTTAAAAATTCTGAAAAAATTCAGGGACGTAGATCTCGACGTGCTGATTCCAAAAATATAGGCTGTTGATGGTCGCGGAGCGACATTTTCGAAAAAATCGGTACGAAATGCCTAATTTATCGAATTTTCAAAAATTTCGATATTTCAACCGTCGATTCTGGAAAAACGGTTGCAGCTATCAAAGAATCGAGGCCGGAAGTGAGTTCTAGACCTCGAAATCTACAAGAAAATGTACTCAGTTAGGTTTCGAAAATGTCAAAATTTCGGCGAAATTTGAAGAAGGGGGGACCATTGGAAAATTTTCACTTTTGAAAAAGTCGTTTAAAAATTCTGAAAAAATTCAGGGACGTAGATCTCGACGTGCTGATTCCAAAAATATAGGCTGTTGATGGTCGTGGAGCGACATTTTCGAAAAAATCGGTACGAAATGCCTAATTTATCGAATTTTCAAAAATT